GAGACATCGAATTCCATGAACAGTACCTTCTTTGTAGTAAACACGTTATGCAATCTGAATTTCATATTCAAACCCCCTTCTCTCCATTAGCGTAGAAGTTTTAGATGTTAATTTCCTGAAAAAATCAAGTTCTACGCCCATGGAATGATATTCATTATAATCATGATATGGGTTTTATTGCCACCAATTAGACCAGTTTTAATCGCGGCACGTTTGGATATTCGCAAAGGCGACATCATATTTGCTTCTTGTCTCAACTCGTTATCACATGACGGTAGTATGTCTGAGATAATAGCAGCAAATAAATCGCTGTGCCGTGGATTCGGCTCAGACTGAGGGGTGGCACAGATAGGTTTTTGAAATCTACCATTCAATTGGTATCGGATGACATAATTCTTATCTCGTTATCAAATCGCGAAATCGAGTGCAAATTTCAGCACAGGAAAGTGCAATTTTTCAATCAGTATGCTCAGGATAATGAATGGCACAGGTGCCGTTCGATAAACTACAATGTGTTTACATGCCTTTGGAACATTATATCATTTCGTTATCAAATGAATTTTCTTGGACTGTACTAGTTACAAATCTGGCAGCGTTGGTCCTACTGTTTATGGGAAAGCCAGAATTCAGATAACGATCGCTTCATGACGTCATCGAAACTGGCTTTCTGGAGGGTGTCGTATTGCATTATTTAAAAAAAAGTGTTTGGTTTGATGTACAGGGTCTGCTTCTTGAAATTGAACCTAACTCTTTTGTTTTTAGAGATATAAAAAATGTTTGAGACGACCCAAACTTTTATTTTGTGAAGTTTTTTTATCGCTTGGAGCGCACGAAAGTAAAATCCTATAATGTTCAAAGAACATCGTGCGTTCCTAGGGAGGATAGGGACAGGAGGTAGGTATTGGATTTTTTTTTTGAACTTCTGGAGATTATATGTTGTTGGGAATACTTCCTCAGGCAATGAATTCCAGAGCCTAGCCGTTCTATGGATGAAGGAGTTTTGATAAAGTGCTGTTCCATATCTTTCAAGGTTGACAACGAAAGTATGTGCTGACTGGGCTTGTCTAGTTCGTCTGACTGGTAGTGCTAGTGAAGGGATAATAGCAGAGATTTCCGAAGAACATTCCCCGTGGAAGTATTGATAGAAAAGTGAAAGATCGCCGACCTTTCTACGGTGTTCCAATGATGTCAAAGAGTGAGTGAGTGTGGCGTCACCCACCAGGCGAATGGCTCTTCTCTGGATGGAATCTAAGAGCATCAGCGTATGTTTTGGTGCTGAACCCCATATGTGGGAACAGTATTCTAGAACAGGCCGTATCTGCGCTTAGTAGATCATGAGAAGCTGTTGAGGGGAGCTTTTCGCACGGAACAAGAATACGAGTTTTTGTGAAGCAGCTTTTGCGATGGATCTGACATGATTATCCCATGAAAGAGTGTTGCTAATGGAAATACCGATCATAGATATGATGGGCTTGGTGGGGATGGTGGTGCCAGACATACAATATGTTTTATATACAGGGTCATTAGTTTTTCCGGAATGGAAGTCAACTCTGATTTTTTAAATGGAACACCCCTCGGATCACCCTATATATTTTTTGATATTTCGATAGAGTCTCCTTTTCTGATTTCGAAAATAAAAATCGTATAAATGAGTTGCATATTTGGATGAAAAATTGTTGGGTTATTAATGAACACGGCAATCATTTCTTTAAATTCCTGAAATGTTGTGAATATCGAGATAGACCCCTCCATAATAACAGCGACGATATGTATGCATTCCTTTCAAAATTTTGAATGAAATCCCAATTCCTACCGTATAAGTGACCAGCGACATGCCCGGTCCTGACACATCTTGACCGATTTTCCCGTACTGGAATCCCGTAAGAGCTCCGACGGATGTCACTGTCAACACCATGGCACACTGATAAAAATGTCGAATTTCTAGGAACAACAGCACCAAAAACAATCACATCATTTGAAACACTTATTCTTGTTTCAACCATTCAAACACATTGAAATTCCTTTTGTCACAGATTTTTTTCAGTTCAATTTGTTCGGTTTTTAGGAACCGTAAAACGTACAACCCTTGTAGTCGTATAGCGTTGGTAATCCTACTCAGTCACTGTAAGATGGATCGTCATCGCGGAGCCGACACAAACTATAATAACTAGATCGAGAAAAAGGTTTTGCTCACCTTACACAGCTACTGACGGTGTTGCCTGATTTACGAATAGTATCTAAAATTACTACTAATTTGATATTCAGTGCAAGTGGAAACACACTCAAATTGATAATTATTTCAGAGTATTTTTGAGTAGGTTGCGTGAGGTGAGTATTTATTTATAGGCGTTCATAGGTATAGGGGGTCCCAACAAAGTATCAATAACCAAAGAATCTAATCAAGATACCTTCATACATTTCAGTTTCAAAACAATGATCTCTATACAAATCAACCCTATATACAGGGTGAGTCGGGAGGATAGCTCCAAATTCCAGGTGTGTATTGTACATGTAAAAATAATTTTAAATAACTCATATGTTATTATACAATTCTCATTTCTTTCCATTCTAAATTTGAATAGATGTGTGTCATTTAATAAGACTTCAATCATACAAACTCGATTGTATGGTCCGTTTTGTTGTTCTGACATGTGTTAGCATCAGTGTCAGTGTGTTTGACGCATTTATTTTTGAGTTTGTATGATTCAAGTTTTATAATGTCACACATCTATTCAAATTTAGAATGAAAACAAATGTGTATCGTATAAGAACATATGGTTTTTTTAAAATTATTCATACATGTACAATACACACCTTGAGTTTGGTGCGTTCCTCCCAACTCATCCTGTATATAGATAATTCAGGGTTTGTTACAATTCATGATTATTAACTACTACCTAGAAAAAAAACACTGGAGATAGCAATGCTCATGGCAGGTGTGCAACTATATGATTCTTATGGGATTCTTCTCTTCTTCTGTGATCAATGTTGAATAACTTTTGTAGTGATAAATATGAATTATACTCATTTAATAATGCAGAATTTCATTACGGGGGGAATGGTATTTTTTCTACTTAGTTTTCCATTTAGACATTCCTGCAGGAATGTTTGCAGATTTCCAAATGTTTGCAAATTTAAAGCCAGTTACATAGCTATGGTCAAGTAGGGCATGTGACTTCAAATTTTCATTTTGCTCAGAGGGAAGGTTTGTGCAGTGATCTCTGGTTTGTGTTAATATTGAATCCCCATTGAATCCTGTAAATTCAAAACTTTGATACCCTGAAACCACTCCTGAAATTATTGACATTATTAAGATCAGAATAATCCTCAATAATCAGATAAGTATGTATTGATAAGGATTATTCTCAGATATATTGTGAACATGAGAAAATTGAGAATTAATATTTTCATCACATTAAGAATTCCCATTCACTATGTGATGAAAAAGAAAATAGTAATTCTTTATCAGTAGGTATATCCAACAGAAAACAACTACTTTCCTGGCTATTTGCCAAGTTGAACATTGAATTATATCTGGATTATATGCATTGAACATCCAAAAGAAATACATGAAAATAAAAATCCTCTGAAGTTGAGAATTGGTATTATCTTTCAAATGGGATGAATAAAATGATGATATAAAAATATAACTTACCAATATATTCAGTATTGAAATGTATAGGAGAAGTATAATTGTATAAACTCTGATCTTGTTGAACTTGAAACTTCCAAAAATCATTCATATATCAGTTTTATGGGACTATTATCTCTTACAAACAGGTTATATGACTTTATTCCTATGAACTCATTTCAGGTATCAAACCCTCCCCAGTAACCTGAAGTCCAGTTATTCTTTCAGCCATTCTTCATGAAATATACAGTTTTCATCTCTCTATAATAAAACTAAAACTATAATCAAGGGGTTCAAACTTGAATGATGGAAACCTTTTATTTTTATAGACCTTTAATAGCAAATTCTTGATTGGGTTTTCTCAATTCAGAATTTTTTTCCATGTCCTGTATGATGAATATCAATTTTTTATACATCCAAAAACATATAAGTAGGTATCTATATTCCAGAATTCCCAAGATGTTCTTTTTGAACTTTGAAAGTCCTATGAACAGACAAATGGATATATCTCCTTGGTAATTTCAGATGGGCATTTTGACAGTGACTGGAATTTTGATGTACAAGTTTTAGGAGTTTTTTATTAGGAATTGATGAGTTGAGAATTGAAAAAATTTAATCTTTAGTATTTGATGACAATTTAATCTGCAAATTAATGGGAATTGGTCTACAAAATCCTCTGAAATCCTCTCAAAATCCATGTAGCTGAAATGCCCCTAGGTACCTTATTTTGGGGCACTCATTCATTTGATCATTCAGATTTATACACCCAGCAGGCTGTAGGAGCCAGGACCCAAACAACATAGTGGAGCAAAATCACAAGCAAAATCTGTACTGAGGTGGAGAAACATGACATACCTACATATAAAGAAGCCACTAAAACATAATTAATTAGGTACCCACCTACTATGTGCCAAACCCTTGGCACCCTTGGCCAAACCTAATTAATGTACTAAGTATATAGCAGATTGATTGCCTACTTGCTGAGTAAGTTACCTATATCTGAAGTCTGATTAACATTTTCTCATTAAATATGCCTGTCTATGAACTTGTTATTAGTTGATCTGATGAATTAGTAGAGCGTTACTGCCTACTTGTTACCCACTACTTTGTTTGCTATTTTGGCAATGAAATAATTATAATTTATAATGAATACCTAGGTACCACAGATCTGATGAGATTCTATATAATTTACCAGGTCTCCACGTCTGATGGCAGCCGACAACAGCTGATTCATGCTTGATATTTGGCAAGTGGTAACACTCCTATAGTATATGAAGCTGAACGATTTGATTCCACAAGCCGAAAGCTAGCATCTCAATTCTCAATTTGAATTGGGCAAAAATATTGTAGAATTCAATTCGGTACTCACTTGTCTGGTTATAAACGCATCCTCCATGTCCATGTTTCTTCTCTCTCCTCGGTCCATTACGTTCGCAGCGGTCTCGACACTTTCCACCTTAATATCACCAGAGTTTTTCATGAAAATCTTTGAAATTGCACTCCACATTCACGTTTATTTTTCGACCAGGTATCTTTGACAATACCATTGCCCTGCCTACGCAATATACTCGCGTTTCACAGTCTTGCAGAGGCCAAAGATACTCCGAGAATTTAATTAATATTTTATTGAAGCTCACTAATACCGAATTTTCATTTATATAATGATTTAATTTCGGGTTTATAAAGTTGAAATCTTCGATTTTGAGAACCATTTATCACATCTTGTTACAGACATTTTCACATTCTACCATGACGCATGACGAATGACGATACAAGCGACCAGTGTTGCCAGTTGCCACAGTGCCACAGGCCACGGTGGGGCCACAGCACAGGTGCCACAGGCATTATTATTATTTTTAGAGCGAGCTATGTTGTCAAAAACGAGCGAGATCACTCAAAGATCAAGATTTTGTTGATGATGAAATGAATAAATGGATGGATAACATTACATCTACTCACAATACATTACTCTGTTGCCTAGGTACACAAATTAATATAAAAAAATATGAATTTATGGTCACGTTTTTTTTAAGTTGTTCCATCTATGAGATAATTGCTCAACTCTCCATTGAATTATCCATGACAAGGCATGCCTCAGTTGATTGACGAGTTACAAGAGTTGATTTCTCGTTGAATTACCAATTAGAATCATGCAACTGACCTTAAGCATCAGAAACGGATTAGTTGCCAAGCCAATAAGGCTATCCGGTCGAATATGTTTAGTAGGTAGAAACATAAAATGTATCGCATGTGTCTCAGGCCATCTGAAACAATATAGCTGAAATTCGAAAAAGGTGAAAACGAGCGGGATTTGACAAAGAGGAGCGAGAGAGTGAACTAGTGACGAAACGAGCGAGATCTCGCTCAATCGGACGAGCTGTGGCAACGCTGCAGAGACACCTTGAAAGGTTCTTTCGTCTGCTTTGCAGTGTTGTAAAAAATGCACTACACTTTGAATCAGCTGATATCTCGTGCAGCTACACCACCGAATTTCAAACGGAGGTAGAAAATTGAATTGAAGAGGAAAAGTGCAATTTGAATTTTCGAATGGGGTATTTGATGTAACTGGTCCTCCAGTATAGGTGTTTATCTATAATAAATATAATCACACATGTATTACGAGTCATTTATCGCGATTTTATTCACTCTTGAATTTGAGTGTAATTAACTGTACCTAAGATGTGGAGATCAATGGCGGCTAAATATCTAGACTGTCTAACGGTATAATCCGTCAGACAGCCATCAGACAGCCAATGAACTCTCATTGCAGACAGCCTATTGCCTAGATATTTGGCCGTCATCGTGGAGATAAACTACACTGGTGTGAATTGCACTTTTTGAAATAATGCTCGAATGCGGTGTAAATTACACGAAGTGAACGAATGTGCTACATTTTTCGTGCAAAAGGAAAGATCTAATAGCAAATTCCATTGGTAAAACTTGTATTTGACAAAAACATAAATAATATAATAGAAAATAATTATGATATTTCATCCATACAGCTCAAACAAAGTTAACAATAGGCCTGTTTGTTTGTGCTTGTTCTACCTGCTGATCTTGATTTTTTTCTATGACTCTCTCTGTTTACATCATGCCATGAACAAAGACAACTATGGAAAAAAAATCAACTTTAGCAAATTTAGCAATACAAACGAACAGGCCTATAGACACAAAAAAAAACGAACTCAAAAAGAAATTTCTGCTTCCGGAGAACAAGGAACAATATGAATAATCATATTAATAAAAAGAAAATGGAAAATACTCCGATGATGGCTATAACTAGGTCGGAAAACATTCAAAAAACTATCAAAAGTTGCTATAGAAAATTATTTTCAGTTTTTTTTGTATTTCCAATAATAAAGTATATTATAACAAAAATAAATTCAAAAACTATATGAATGATTTTTGAAAATTCTCGAAGGCTGTAGGAGACTACTCTTTTTCGAAACTATCTAACCTAAGTCGGCCTAAATGAACCTTCCTATAAAGCTGAACCTTGCATGGAATGAACCAGAACCACAGGCGTGGTAGTCGAATGCATAGCTCACTGTAATTAATCATTCCAGAATTACGTCATTTGACAGGTTGCTGAGGAGCAAACATTGTATTTTGTCAAGATTTGTCATATGAAACCAGAATTAGTGGGATCGTTTTCCTTGGAATCCGAGGTGAAACCAGAAAGTATTTCATAATTTTGTTTGATGAAACTGTTATTATATTGTGGATGTGGCAGGGACGGCCAGAGCAATGCTCAGCAAAGGTAACCTAACAGATTGTTTGTGTGCCCCTCAAGAAACCATGTCAAAATCACGTGTTCTAGAATGATCAATTACACTGTAGGTTCTTTCGTCTGCTTTTCAGTGTCGTGTAAAATGCACTGCACTATGAATCAGCTGATATTTCGTGCAGCTACACCAACGAATTTCAAACGAACGAAGGAAATTGAATTGAAAAAGTGCAATTTTGATTTTTAAATGCGGTATTTGATGTAACTGGTTTCCGGGTATAGGTGTTTATGTATTATAAATATAATCACAGATGTATTTCGAGTGATTTATCGCGATTTTATATATTCTTGAAGTTGAGTGTAATTCACACCTTCCCAAGACTAGGTGGAGATAAACTACACTGGTGTGAAATGCACTTTTCAAAAGAATGCTCACATTCGGTGTAATTTACACGAAGTGTACGAATGTGCTACACTTTTCGTACAAAAGAAAGGGCCTTGTAATAATCGCGTATATGTAAGTGACGTCATGTACGCGCGAGAATCCAGAAAGAAAACCGATGGAAGTGGTCTATGGAAATGCCCAGCGAGCATCCCTGGGATGTTTGGAAACATCTCAATATGCATTCCCAAAAAGTTCTGTAATTCGAATCTCAAGACTATCGATCATTTTCAACTATCGATAGTATCGTTAGTAGTCATTGAACTATCGATAGCCGGACACCTCTAGTAAGTGGGAGATGTCATTTTCTTGTCATTCTGACAATTCGACACTCATTCCTCTTTCGTCATTTTCAAAAAATTACCAAAGACAGTAGTAAATTTGCAGAAGGCAATTTTGAGTTGTCGATTTTTTTGACGATTTACGAGTTATTTTCAATTTCTGGTGATACCTATCGAAAAAGATCAATTTTTTGTGAAATGTCACGTCTATTATTGTTGTTGAATCACCTGAAATAGTTCTGTATTCCAGTACCTGGTACAAGAAAAACGATTGTTCGATCAAACAAATAGGTAATAATTCATCAATATTCTGTTTTTCGTCATATATAACATAAAGAATGGTTGACGACAAAGTAGAGATGAATAATGATGGTGAAAGTTATTCAAGTCTCAATACAAGTGATCCAAAAAACGTCCAGGAACTTACCCAGTATGTGAGTGCTTATACATTTTTGCACAACAGCACATTTTCATTGGCAATATCCCATTTTCAGGTGCAAAGCCTGTTACAAACCATACAAGATAAATTCCAGAATATGTCTGACCAAATTTTGACCAGAATTGATGAAATGGGGAATAGGATAGATGATTTGGAGAAAAACATTGGAGATCTGATGACACAAGCAGGAGTTGAAGGAACAGATAAATAATACCAAGATAATACATAATGATAAGATCACATTGGAATTAATTTATTTTTCATCATGAGTAATTATGATTTGCTTGTTTTAAATGATATAGGTGACAATATAAAATATAATCAGGTAACCATATCTTTCACACAATTCACCTTCTTTCAAAAATACTGCAAAACAATTGTATTAAATAGGTAGGTAAATCCTGTATCTGACCTGTATCAATCCTATGATTTGGAGTAATAGGAAAGGAAGACTAATAAATTCTATCCTATATGCTTCTAATTTCAATTTCTTGATTTTCTTTTGGCAGTTGATTCATTGAAATGTTTATATTTTTAACTAGGCATAACTGACTAGATGAAAATTAATTACTCAAATTAATTAGGTCCTTGCATCTAATCATTTGAATCTGAATATGGGATATGAGGATAAATGAGTAAAGAAATGCATAAGACAATAAACTTTTTTGTTTAATGTCTGAATTTTCTTATAACAATTGGTGAGTTCTTATTGTCAGAAGAAGTGGCATTTTCTTCAGATTCACTTTCATTCTCCTCTTCACTTTCTGATATACTATTCTTCATTGAGTCCAAGGTGTCTTCGCTTTTTGCCTTTGACAATTTCTCCTTGGAAATTGATGGAATACCTGGAGTTCTTTTATTGTGAGTAGAAGAAAAAATCATACCTAGTGATCCCAGAGAATTTGATGATCTGAATAATGAACTTGTCCTGGAGGATTTGTACTGAATAGTGTCAGGAATACGAAGAGACTTCTTGAATTCCTGTGAATGATTGAAATTAAAAACTATTGTACACTTCATTATTAATTATAAAGAATATTTTAATTTACCAATTCCAATTCTCCTCTTATATTTTGAAAGTCCTATACATTAGAAACAAATAATTATATTATATGTGTTACTTCTTAGGTTCAATTGAATAAATATTACTCATTGAAATAACAAAACCTCCAAAAATAATGTACAGTAATGAATATGTATATACCAGGGGTCAACGAATCTATCAGAGAAGCCCTAACTTTAATAATTAATATTTAGTGTATCAGAATGAAATTTAATATGGGAATATGGTATGTGAAGAGGAAAGTTTTGAATTTTCAAACGGAAACCCCTGTATATTATAATATTTTTTAATTTCTGAGACAAAATTTTGACATGGAATGTGACATTTTCAGAAGTTTGTACCTAAATTTTAGTCACTTTAAATACTGCATCTAGAGGTGGCTATGATCGGCCGTGAACTTGTCTAATTATCTTCAGATAACGGAAAATTATAGTGGTGTTTTATGGCATCCTATTTTTCGTAAAAGTGTGATTCTAGGATCAATGGTAACAAAGAGATAATAGAAGAAAAATGCATCTGAAATATTCCAAATGTATGTACTCTGAATATTCATCAGATTCTCAAGGCCTACAATAATAATTATTGTTTGTTGAAGGGGTCAAAATTTCAAAAACGAGAGAAAGTGGATAGCTTAATCGATTCAGGCCTAGCTGAATTGCTCCCATAAAAACTTATAGTAACGCCTCAAATATAGAGGGTGATGGTCGAGGTGATGGTTATTCAATATGGAAAATCTTAATATATTCACTTTTCAATTCATCCTGTATTATAATCTAAGGAGTTGATATAACTATGGTGAGGTAGTCATTCAATGAAGAAACAAATCGAATAGTTAGTTAGGATATATAATTCATTGTAAGTTCTAACGGAAAATGTCTTGAGCAGGTCCATCAAGAATCGATATTGCTTACACCACTTTACAATAAAATAATTACTTCCAAAATCGTCTCGACTGACAAAGAGCTATCTGTTTCTTCATTGAATTATACTACTTCAACGGTTATATCAATACTTAGATTTTGATACAGGGTGAATAGAAAAAGCAAAATAATATTGAAATTTCACATATTGAATAACTTTTTCATAGGAAAATTGCCTAATTCACTGGCGTAACTATGGAGGGCCTGGGGGGGTGTGCTCCCCCCCAGAATATTTTAAACAAATATCCGTACCAAATAAAGTAGACACATCAAAATATTTCATCATTCAAAGACGTCCGACGTCCCTGTCCGCCTGTCCCTGCAAGCAGCGCGAGACGAAAAAACAGTAGAACATCAAAATGAAGAGTAGATTTCAATGAATCATCACGATTTGCTGTTATAATTGAAAAAAAAACATAGAAACCTATATATAAAACGAGAAAAGATGTTTAGCTTTTATTTCAATTAAAAATTAAACAAAGAATAACAACAATAATAAAATAAAAGATGAAATTTGTAAAAATCGAAACCAAATCGAAAATAAAAGCTTATTTATAAATCAGACTGAATCTGATAATTCCAGTATAATTTAATCATACTTCTTACTGATGTGATACGGATGTCCCCATTAAATAATCTTCATTGTAACATATATTAGGTAGTTATATGTCATATCAAAACATAACCATTCAGACATTACTTTGTAGGTACAATATTTTTGGTGAAGAGAAACCCTACAATGCTGGCTGTAATCAACTCATGACGCTGCTTTGACATCAGCAAATTTACTTGAGAAAATTATGTCTCTATGGTTTTTGAAGAATGAGGCAAACATATTGTTACGACCCTGGCGATCAATCCCAGCTACCTGCGGTGGGATGTAAACAAGTCATATTTCTTGGAATAAGTAATTAGGTGATTCGACGGCTATTGAGATGACTCGAGAAGATTATCGACCTGTTCACGATATTTCGAGTGGAATCTAGACGTTTTATTAGGTAATATAAATAGATGTTGTTAGGGACAGGAAGAGAAGTCTTTATTTGGAAGCGTTATAATAACGATCGAAGAAGTGTTGTGAATCGGAAGTGTTTAGTACGAGTATTGTAATTATTGTATAGTAGTGTTCAGAATAAATCGTTTTAAGTGTTATACCGAGTGTTAAATTATTACGGACCCTGAGTAAAATCGTAACAATATTGAATTAGGAGTAAAATTGGCCAAGCTCAAGAATACTATTGAATAGTCTCCAAAACAATACTTTTCAACTGTGAACCACACCTTATCAAATCCGACGCCTAATTTATAGGCATTTCCCAGTTTTGCTCTTGATTCAAACAGTAGGTTTTATGCCTAAAACAGGAGAACAGTAGAACGGGGACAAAAACAGTAGATCTACTGTTAAAACAGTAGGTCTGGCAACGCTGGTCTCCATCTCTTCACATTCTACATTCTGTGATCCCTGGGATTCCCAGGCCAGGCCTTTCCCGGCACAGTCCAGTCTTAAAGATTGAGAGAGTAGAGACAGGTTATAAAATATTATAGGCTTTATTACTGTGACAAAGTACAGTGAAATAGTGAAAAAAGGACAAAAGGTAAATTTAAGATGTGAATTGAAAATTTATTTGGCCTTCTCTCTGTCTATCTGTTTGTTGCTTGTTTAGGGAATAAAGAAAAAAAATAAAATATCAACAGAGTAAACTCTCAAGGAGTTTTATAAACTTTGTGTGTATTCAGAGTGTGAATAATATGGGATTTGAATCCAGAACCGTATTAAGCAGGTGATATTCTTTAAGTTTAAAAAGCTCACTCGATTGTGGATTTATTTCCAATAAAATAATTCATAAATAGGCTATATCCTAGATCACATCATTATAGTAGACCATGTCCTTTCTAGTTACGCCAGTGCCTAATATGATTATTATAGTATCTGAAATCTTGATCCCTTCAACAAACAGTTATAGATATTATGTTATGGTATTTTTGTTTTGGAGAATCGGTCGACGGGTTCCAAATATAGAAGGGTGATGCGCGAGTTGAAATATACAGTTTCATTTAAGGTTCATGTAAACCCACGTGAAAAAAAACGGCAAGTTCAAAAATTTTGAAAAAAATCTGGTATATCAAGGTTTTTAATTGAAAACTTCTGTGAGATTTTGATGAAAATCTATCGAACGAATTTTGAGAAAAAAAATTAAAACTCCTTTTTTTATAGGTTTTTTTTAGTTTTCACAAAAACTGTTCGATGAATTTTTGTCAAAATCTCACAGCAGTTTTTAACAAAGAATTAAAATATGCCTGATTTTTTTGAAAATTTTTGAACTTACAGTTTTCCTACAATAGTGAATTAATCATTGAAAGTTGCTGTAAAATCAATATTATTCGAAAAATATGATATATTTTGATTATTCATGTAAGATGTAACGAATACGGATTACTTGAATCCTATTTCAGTCATAAACAATGATTTATTCGATTTTAAAATAGGGTTTTCAAAACCCCTTACCAAATTCCTCTCAAATAGATTAATCGCTCCAGCAGGTGCTGCCTCTGCTGGTAATAGTCATAATCTAAAGTAGTTTCGCTACTGTCCACGAGTATCGCATAAAATGTCTGACCATCATAATATTTGTCGTACAGCGTTGCCAATACGCCTAGACAAAGACAACCGATAAATGCTGATTGTTTCTAGCAAATCCTTCAGAAAATCGTCTATGGACACATTTTCCCTTTTTGACTTGTGAATATTGAATACATTCGCGGGCCTAATGAAGGGAGGGATGGGTCGTGTTGAATTATTTCATATTCATATGAAGATTAAGTCAATTCAGTTGATTATTGTGATGAACAATGAATGATTCGCAGATGAAATTTTTTATTAATAAAGAAAATGCCTTTCGAATTAGAAGTTTGGTTTTTCGGACATGCATCATGTACTTCATGTACCGGGAAGTGAAAATTTCATCCAAAATAATAACTTTTTTGTTGACGATAGAAATATATATATATCTTCATCTTCATTGTGTCATCAACTTGCTCATGGAAGTGCCCCAAATGTTAGGGGCCTCTTCAGATTTTTATTATCCACCATAATGCCCATCTATGGAGGTTTTCATGGTTATTCCTCTAGAAAACAACTAACCATTTAACTTTAATGTTTTTCAATTCTCTACGGTTATTATAAAAAAATTTCCATCTTCATGTCAGCTATCTCTATGGTAAGGATTCCTCTTGTTACTTAATTAATTTTTCTCATTGTATATAGGACTATGTATAATTTCTTATTAGGCTGATGATGGACATTATGTATGCTCCCTTGATGTGATTATTCACAATGAGCATTTGGTTGAGCATTTTTTTCAAAAATATGTAATTTCTGGTTTTAAGCCTAGCAGCACCTCGATTTCCAAGAAGTGGTTTGAATTCCACGTATAGGACTCGCTCACCATAACCCCGCACAAGTTTCGACTTCTGGGGTGTTGATTCCCATCGAAGTAGCGATATACAATTTTTATAAAATTATATAAAACACTAAAAATTAACAATAAAACGAATATGCAGAAGGTACAATATTTTCTGATCGATTTTCCTCGAAAATGATACATCTCTGATTGATTCGGAAAAAGAGCAAATCTTGGAATGGTTTATTTTCACTGCATTGGGCATGGAAAGCTCGATGGAAAGTTTAGTTCTTGTACCGAATTGCATTATTATATCACATGGCGTTTCGGAAATATTGAAGAAATATCATATTTAGGACCCCCCTTCCAGTAGCTCCCTCATATAAGAGACATTTATGTTCATCTGAACTTTTCTTCCTATTTTTGGTCGTAGAAGCCGGTGATGAAGTTCGACAGGCTAATTTCGAGATGTGGGTATATGTGTTTTTTCTATAGTGAGTTTTTAGTGCTGAATATGAATGATATATCATAATGAACATCGGATTTGAAAAGGTTTGAATATTTCCAATATGTTCAATAGTCCCAAGACACTCTCGGGAATTTCCTATATATAGGTATTTCCATTTCCATGGCAATATTTCCAATGGAAATATTCCCACTCAAATCACCAATGATATATAATAGTGATGATATAAATATTTCCGAAATATGGCGATTCTCATCAAGAACAGGATCTTTATTAAACCAGACCCCTCCTCTATTCTATTAGGTATATAACTCAACTATTATAGTCTTGCGATTTTCACCAAATTCTGATCGGTATCAATAATCATCAATATGATCAGTTTTTCAGAGATGAACATCCTTTTGGACATTTGAACCTTTCAATGGAAATGAAAAGAGGTTGATATTTTATGAAATTATATTAGGATTTTTTGCAGGTAAACTAACTTCATAGTATTGCTCCTCATGTTTTCTGCCTCGAAAAATACTGAGTTTGGATCAACTGCAAATTCTGAAACGTTCAATGATGATTTGAGACAAAAAACCAGGATATACTTTCATTATTTTTGTACTCTCTGTTTCCGAGTAAATAATTATTCACGCGCGTTCAAAAACCAAAAACAGTCTGTATATGTTTAGATCTGCCTGTTCCTTTGAAACCTTTTATATAGAAATTATATGAAAATATTCATATGAAGGTTTGAAACCATTTTCATTTCAATAAAAATACACGGCACTGTAAAAAATGATGATTGTCTTAGAAAAATTGATCATATTGTTGGTTATTCAGTATAGTTATTCATACCGGTCCAAATTTGGTAAAAATCGTAAGACTAATAGCTGATATATAATGGAGAAACCGTTTGAAGTGGGACAGGCTGTATAGAATCATCTTGTTACACCTCGTTGGCTGAGTAATGTAATCAGGAATTCAGCTATATACCTATGTAATTTTCAGGGCTGATTTATGACTTTTCGCGAAAGTAAGTCGAATATCATGAAGTGAATGACTCATCTTCTGAAGCCTCATTATGATTATTTTTATGCCCGTTACCACCGATCATAAACATACATAGTATGGTGAAAGGATAGGATTTTGATTCAAAGACATATGAGTTCTTAGAAAATTACTCATGTGTGCTTCTTTATATTTCTCTGGATGGAGTTGTACGGAATTGGCATACCTAAGTATTCCTTTCATGTCTATAAACTATCGACTAGCTCTACTGCGTAATGATTCAAGTAAAACTGTTTCAATTTCGACATCATATTTTGTACAAAAAACCCTCAGATACAAATTTTGAATATATCATAATTACAAAATTCATCTGCCATATTGAATCCGCCATCTTGAATTTCTTTATTTTGACTAAGGAATCATAATTTCCGATGCCGAAAATCCCCTGATATAACGTTTGAATAGAATCGGATCATAATTACAAAACTCGTGTGTCACATTGGATCCGCCATCATAAATTTCCGAATTTTGATGGTAAAATCATGATTTCTGATCCAGAAAACCTCAGATATACAATATTTTTGAATTGGATCTTGATTACAAAACTCGTCAGCCATATGGGTTCCACCATCTTGAATTTCCAAATTTTGATGACACAATCATAATCTCCGACCTCGAAAACCCCCAGATACCAATTATGAATACAGTCGGACCATAATTACAAAACTCGTCTGCCATATTGGCTCCGCCATCTTGTATTCTCAAATTCTGACAGAAAAATCATAATCTCTGTCGATCCCCGAAAACCCCTAGATACCTATACCAGTTTTGAATAGAATCTGATCATAATTATTACAAAATACACTAGTGTATAATCAAGGATGGAATAAGATACTCTTCGGATTGTTTGATGTTCATTCGCGTTCAGTCGTGACTTCGGTGACAGATCGGAACGGGTTCGGATACGGACGGATCGGGACGGAAATTCAATATTTTTTGGTTTTTCCTCACCCAACAAAGTGCTGAACGCGCCTAAAGTTTTCACTTGAAAAATTACAATAATGTCATCAAGAATGTATTCCCCCAGAAATACATCGGAAGGCAATTTTGGACCACCGTGTATATTATAAATATCATTATCATTCCATACCAATTCCATATATTCCATTCATATACAAACAAATAAGTATATGAGCCACACTAGTGTTTCTCCATTCACCCCTGTAGCGAACGTTATCACTGAAATATGAACGATTCATAATAATAATTAACCCTCGTAAAATCTCCTAAATACCCGATACCCGAAACAGAAGAGGCGGCCGACGCCGACGCTCATTAGCGCATCGCTTCGAACCTCAAAGTCAAAGCTTCCGCCTAGCCGCCTTGCGCCCGAGAAAATGACCTTGAAGGCGATTGCCGATCTTTTCATCTATGCGTTCGCGCTCCGACAACACATCGTCTCACTGTGTATAGAAATTGTTATTATATTTATTGTGTGTTTATGTGTCGCCTTTTTTAATTGCATCGAATCCTCACGAAATATACATGTATATTCTCATAGATGCTAATATAAAATTCAATTCTACTCCTTCACCCACCGGAGACAATAAAGATCAGATAATTATAATGTCGCGCAATATCAGTATATACCATGCCATTTGCAAAAAAATATCGCAAGTCTAAGACCTATTACCAGCTATGGCAACAATGGTATGTATTTTACAGAGACAACGAAGGAATCTGCATATTTCGGAAGGGTTCTGCAAAATTTTTACCCTATGAAACACAAAAGTAGGGCAATTATGGTTGCATACATCAAGTAACACCTGGAGCACTAGCGACATCTGACAGATCAGAAACGCGAAATTTGTCGCTTTACATGTACCTTAAACGGCCCACCCTCATAATATCTCAGCCATATTATAGTCGTGCGATTCAACAATATTATCAGTTTTTCAGAGACAAACATCATTATGAATTAACAGTGCTGTGCGTTTTTATTGGAATAAAGAAGGGGTCGATTATCTATGAAATCATCAGGAATTTTTTTTCAGCAACATTAACTTCATAATATTGCACATCTAAAAATCATTGTTGCGAACGTGATTCATTATTTACTCGGAAACTCGAGTTCAACAAAAAAAGAATATTCGAATTAATTGTTTTCGTGGTAGTAATTCGAAATAGGTGATTTTTTGTATATGGAGCTTCCTTATATTATAGAATACGCTCTCTTCATTTGAAATATTTTCGACAATGCAGCGTTGCCGCTTCTACTAGAAAGTAGTAGCAACATTGATACATCAAATGGAACACCCTGTATTTTATCGCATTTTTAGATTCTCCCTGAAGAGCTGATTTTATCTATATATCATACTTGGGGTCTATCGAAAAAGATTACAGAGACATAAGTAGGGTGTTCAAAATCAAGATTTTTCAATTTTAGGATATTTTTGTGTCGAAACTATTTATTATCGGTCAATACGGCTCACATGTCCCAATCTCAACTTTTGATTCACTATTCACTGATATTTAATCGTAACAGATAAAGCGAGTGGTTCAAGATTCAGTATTAATTCTGATCACTCTGTATTTGTTCCGATTAAATATTAGTAAATAGTAAAGGAAAACTTGAGATAGGGACATGTGGGCCGCTTTGGCCGATAATAAATAGTTTCGACACAAACAAATCCTAAAGTTGAAAAATCTCGATTTTGAACACTCTATATCTCTGTAATCATTTTCGCTAGACCCCAAGTCTATCGATGAAATGAGCTCTTCAGGGAGGATCTAAAAATGCAATTAAATCCTATTCGAAATAACAAATCATCTTCATGTGATATGCACTGCTCGCCAACAGCCCAGCGAGCACAAACATCCCTGGGATGTTTTGGGATGTTTTGAAAATGTTGGCATGAAGATGTTATTTTGAGACGTAATATGCACTGACCAAAGAGGTCTTTGAAGGATATTAAAGTATTGTTTTTGTTCTTCTGTGGCATTTCTTTGTTTGCCTACTGAGAGGTATCCCTGGGATGTTTTGGGATGTTTTAGAAATGAAGGCATGAGGATGTTTTTTGAGGCGTAATATGCACTACCCAAAGAGGTCTTAGAAGGATATTGAAAGTATTGTTTTTGTTCTTTTGTGCCCTTTCTTTGTTTGCCCCACCACAACGTTTCATGCTTACGTCACAATACGATGAATTCTGATTTGTTTTCGAGTTCTTCTTGTTCGCAATTGGCATTCGCGTTTGTAGCGTGACACGCTTAGATCACGCTGCTAACGAACAGAAAGGAATTTGGTGAAGTTTATTGTGTAAGAAGACTTATTTAGTTTGTGATAATGACCATCAGATGCAAGATGTGTTGTTCGGTGCCTCAGTGTAATCAATGCATGTACGAATTCATCAATACACAGCTTCTCCGCAGTTGCAAAATTATGCATTGTGAAGAACATTCCAAAAATTGGGAAACCTATTTCCAATTATATGTCTGTGTGTAGTAAGCACTACTCAGAAACCGAAAGAAGGTAATTTCAAATCAAGAAAATATTTTTATGTTCAATCTATTTTTAATGCATTTTTTCGTTCAAGGGAATTGGAATCCTAATGCAAAAGTTCATTTTGACAAAAGGCTTCAGAAAAGTACCTCGAAAATGGTTTTTTTACAGCGATTTAATGTGCGAAGACGCGTTGAAAATGTTCTGTTGTGTCCATGAAAAGGCTTTAAAAAGAACTAGGGAGAAGGTAGTTTTGTGACATATCATAGACATCTCAATAATTGCCGCCTGCGGCGGACATTGGCTGTTCTATAATAGTTCTATTCATGTGTGAACAGAACATCGCAGTGAAGGTTCAATGTCTCGAAATCTCGTACTTTTAACATCTCTGAGATGTTTTTGTGCTCGCTGGGAGCCATGGATGAACCACCCCAATTTCCGGAAAATGGTATTAGGAGTCAAAATAGGTCGAAAATCAGATTCGGAATCAGGACGCCCAATTCTCTAAGTATTCATATTTTTTCCGGAAAATTTTCAGTTCTGAGAAATTAAATTTTATCGCACTCTTTACGGAAGCAAACCCGTACTTTATCTTTGGACATTCCCTTCCTCCTGCAAATTTCAGAACCATACTTCGATAATTACGTGAGATACGAGATACGGGGGTGCTTCCACGATGAGTGAGGCAAAATTTAATTTTTCTGAACTGAACATTTTCTAGGAAAACTATGAATAGTTCGTGAATTGGGCGTACTGATATTCCGAATCCGAAATAATTTTCAACCTATTTTGACTCCTATTATCATTTTCCGGAAATTGGGGTGGTTTCATGGCTGTTGGCGAGCAGTATATATTACTTGAAGATGATGCCACTTGGTCATAAAGTGCATTTTTTGAATATCTCTCGCTCCAGCAAATTTCAGGATTGTTACCCAACGATTACGTAAGATACAGGGGTGTTTCCATTAGAAGCGGGTCACACTGTGTAGATATAGTGTGAGATAGTCGTGACATACCCTGTATATATACATACCAAATGGTTGTCGTGGGAATTACGTACACCATGTCTTAGTTTTTCCAAGAAAATGAAAATTCAAACATATTAAAAGAAATTAAAATTATATGGGTTAAATTGAGTTTGGTGATATATGATATAATTAGAACATAATCATATTTTGTACACAAATACGCACAAACCTCCAAATCAGATTCTTCATTTATTGAATCCACCTCATTATAAGCTTTCGTTAGCACTTCTAAGCATTTGGAATGGTACCCTATCTCAATAGTTATGAAATCTAATAAAATAGATTTGATATCATGTAGTTTCTGCTTTTCAAAAGAGTTCGTTTTATCCTCCAGACTGTGAATTGATTTTGATACTTCAGCAGTGGCTTTCACTAACTCCGTTTCAGCTTGAATCTAAGAATAATAAAGATTGTTATTTGTTGGAAGAATGGAAAAAAGGAAAAAAGAAAGATCTAATTATTGAAATTTCGTTGTGGTCAGAGCTCTAAAATTCTTTAAATCATTAATTCTTAGAAAATAGTAACCGCACCGACTTTCAAATTGATCTTCAAAAGTGAGCGAGATATTTTACTAATTCATAGAAAAAAAAAAACTTGACCCCCTGTAGATCCGCTACTGATAGACATAGGAAACTTTTTTAATTAAAATGATGAGGTCTATCACCCATTTCAGTTTGTATATAATAATATATTCTATTATGAACGTACCTAGACTATTCGAACAATATACATTCTATGATCATTCCTGAAAAACATTTATATAATATAATGGAATATTTTAGTAATATGTTCTTAGGATATCCAGATGAAACTTTCTATGAATATTCTCGTAAAATATCCTATATGAACATTAAGAAAATCCTCATCATATATTCCATATATTATGAATATTCATAGAATATTCTGTACTGTCTGGCATGAAGCACACAGGTAATTATTTAAACCAAAATTAAATACTATATTCAGTACCGGGTGTATTCTAATACCTACTTTCTCGTTCAGGTAATTATTTATACCGGGTGTTCAACATTGATTGAATGCCACACTTGACCATTTTTGATGCGGCATCTCTTTTCCACCCACGTTATTGATAATGTATTCTTGATTGCATATTTATAATATCTGACACGTATGGTTGACAATCATTGTTGAAGATCCGTTGTACACAAATGCTTGTTGGAGTTTATTTATATCTCATTAATTGGTATATAAAAAGATTACTGAATGACTTCTGTAGTCTATGGTATATACTAGAATTTGAAATCAGAAGTAGGTATAAGTACAGTCGTATTCAATAAAAAAGCGTACAAGTATTAAAAAGAGAGGATTTCGGGATCCTTGTTCTAGTTGTGTAAAACTGGCTCAGCCAACGCTTTGTGTTTTCGAGAACCTATGACAACTTTACTGTCAACATTTGGTGAACAATCATTCCCGATAGCCCGTTTTATGCAGAATAGGATGACGTTAATTTCTCTCTGTAATATACTTGAACGCTTTTTTTTTGAATGCGACTGTACATATCCAAAAACTCCAACAGAAGGTTTTGGGGTATTCCAATGGTTTTCTAGAATACATATTATTCAAATACCTATAAGCACGTGTATACCTACTCCAAGAATATAAAGAATTCCTACTTTTAGACTCAAAAATCATGTATTTAAATATTTCAAGAACGGATATTGAAATATATACAGGGTGTCCGGTGTCCCTAGACCAGTGGGACAGTTAAATATCTTCTGAACCAATAGGAATTTTCAAAATATTATAATTTCACATCATATCGCATTATGAGTGCTAACTTCAGGAATTACTATATTTTATACGAGGGGCGCAAGAAAGGCTCACAAAATCGAACATCAATTTTTTCAAATGGAACACCCTGTATTTCATTGCGTTTTCATATTCTCCTTGAAGAGCTGAATTCAACGACCTAGCACACTTGGGGTCTAGCAAGAATGATTTCCGAGATATAGGGTGTGGAAAATCGAGATTTTTCATTTTTGGGAATTTTTTGTGTCGAAACTATTCATAGTATATATACTTTTTGGAAATATTAAATATCTGAATATGCCCTGAAGTAAATGTTAGAATATTTAAATACCTATAGGTATTGATGCTGCTGTGAACTATTCAAATACTTTTAGTAACCGCAATCAATTTTTTTCCGCACTAGTGCGGATAAGTATGTTTGTTGAGTTTTTTGGAGTATACTGACATTTGAATATTTAATAATAATGAATGTTTCTTTATGTTGACTTTTGGTTTTTTCCGCACGCTATATAGTAGAAAAAATATAGTGTACCTAACACGTGCGGAAACGCATCACTTTCCGCATTTGTTAGTTAAACTACTATTTCAGCATTTGCTCAGCTCATTTTGTTGTGGTAGGAGTCAAAATTTGGGAATAATATGAAAACTTGTCGACAGAGCCAGTGAATGCGTCCTATAGCAAAATGGTTGAAAGGTGAGTAATTTATAAATTCTCTGTACTAATAATCGTTTTATTAGAACAAGGGCGCTTGCTATATCTACTTCATTTTGATGAATTAATTGTTGAATCTTCACTATCTTTTATATCATATTTGGAAGATAATATATTATTGACTTGAGCTTTATCCTTTTTTTGTTCTTTAGTTTCAACTGTCACATCTGTTGCTTTATCACAGATGATAGATATTATTATTATTTGTACTTACAGTAAGAAATGTTTGTTCATGATTTGTATCAAGGAATTGTTAAATCTGGGATTAAATATTATACCTGCTACCTATAATTATCTACTTTTGAATTTTGTTATTAATATGTTGATTATTGGTTTTGTGTGGTTGATTTATTGACTTTTACTTTTTCCTTTTTTACTACATTTTCACATTCATTAGATGTGATTTCATAAACTTACAATTTGTTGTCTGTTCCTGGGATTCCTATCTCTAATCCTATCCAATTGTTTTCTTCTAGTCATCTCTTTATCCCTTGCACTATATATGCCCTTTACTTCTTCTTTAGCATTTTTACAAATATCCTCATACTTTGCAAACTCTGAAACAACCTTTGAATCTATTTCATGGACTCTCATATCCTCATAATCACTGATAATTGAAACAGATTCAGCAAATCCTTCTAGACCAGCAGCTAAAGATTTGCTAATACTTTCTGTTTCAGCATATTGCAAGGTGAATTTTGCTAGTTCATCTCCTTTGTCGCGCAAACGGGCAGCTTTCCGAGAATATTGTGCAAAAATATTGCAAAGTTCTCCTACATTCCTTTCAACAGAGTGTATTCTTCCTTGGATAAACTTTGCTTCAGTTTCACTGGAAAATCAGTTTGAGAAATCTAATAAAAAAGCAACTTGCAAAAAGAAAATAATTACCAATTATTCCTTGCATGAAACTGATTCAACATATTTGAAAAAATGTTATGATAAACTCTCCACCCAGAAATTGGAGATGTCAACAAAATGTTCAATACAAACAAATCAAAAATGGTGAATGTGAATGGTTGCCAAGTGAAGGAGAAAAATCAATAATTCTTATTTGAAACACTTTTTATTATAAAAATACAGAATACAATTAATATTTTATTTATTTTTTTATAAAAATACTTATGAACAGGAGTGTTCACAATGAGAATTTTATACCTTAATGCTATTCAACAACAGCAAATGAACTACCAGTGCAAGCAAAAACAGATTTAACTCTTTTGTTGGCTAATATTTGAGTAGGTATTTTCACATCAGTTTTACCACCTGATCCACAACTACCATGCTCATTCCACCCCCATGAATACAATTTCCCATCATTGGTAAGAGCCAAATTGTGCTCTGACCCAAGAGACAGTTGGGTGACATTTTTCAAAGTTGGTATTTTTTCTGGTTTGTATGGCACTTCCCTGTCAGCTCCAAGCTGGCCATAGGTATTACGACCCCAAGTAAATACATCCCCACTCTCTGTGAGAGCTGCACTATGACTCCAACCAGCATGGACAGACTTCAGGCCCTCTTGGCTAAATACTTCCAAGGGAACAAAACTGTTGGCTACATTAGGATCAACACCAAGCTGTCCAAATTTGTTCTCACCCCAACTAAGTACTGTACCATTCTCTTTAAGAACTATTGTGTGGTGCTGCCCACTAGCCACACTAATCACATCTTCCAGATCAGGAACTTTGCATATACTTAAATAATTGTTATCATCATAGTTATCACCTAATCCTAATTGGCCTTTGGATCCAGCGCCAGCAACAAGAAGTCCCCCATCTTTAGTAATCATAGCACAGTGTCTTAAACCACAACTCACATGCCTGAATCCAGTGGCTAATTTTTGAGATACCTGAAGCCTTGATGGTATTCCAGTGCAAGTTATGCTCTTTGACAGACCAAGCTGGGTATTTCCATTGTTGCCCCAAACAAACTGTTTCCCACACTCTGACACTGCTGCACTGAAATCCCAACCACATGATACATGGACAATCTTGAATCCCCTCAAAATTTCGATCTGAGTGAGCTTCAATGTATCATCTGAAAGCCCCAACTGGCCTTTTGAATTCCACCCACAACAATAAACAAATCCTTTGTCATCTAAGATCAAAGTATGACCAGCTCCTCCTGCCACCGACACAATTTCATCAGCTTTCAAATCACAGTCCTTCAAGGAGACCTCCTTGGGCTCTAGCTCCTGTTCAGATGAACGTCCAAGTCCCAATTGTCCATAACTATTAGCTCCCTATGCAACAAAAATAATGATATTCATATTAGTTTTTCAATATTCTGGGATGCACTAGAACTTACCCAGCAATATAAACTCATGTTGCTACAGGCGCTTTGTGAAGAAAAAATCTTTTTTGTTAAATATGTTGTTTGAAACACGCGTCCTGCTGTCAGAAAAATAGTGAGGTTATCGTTTCGTGGCTTAGAAAAAATCACAAGAATTCAGATGGACATGATTTGTTGACCACATCGATAATCTGTCAATTGTCAAAACACGAGCAGTGTTGCACTTTGGACGAGGTTGTTTCGCACGAATTCAACTTTACCCAAAACAGTCCATAGTTGTAATGTCAGACCAATCAGGACGAGGCTTTGCCAAACTTTGCTTTAGCGGTGTGGTATCATACGTGGCGATATCTTATATTCGAATCACAGATGTTGGTGCTAATTACAAGCGACTTTCTATACCATCTCCATTTGTGGCTCTGGATTTTGAAAACATAATGAACGTAATATACATACAGAGTTTTCATATAAAATTATATCTCCAGTGTTGCCACGTTATCAGTTCTTCCGTAATCATTATCAACTTTGTTATTTTAAATAAAACACCCTTTATATTTTTATATTATTTGATGGAGAATTTGTTAACGAGTTCACTGTTATACTATTTGATAGTTTTATTTACAATATTTACAAAGATATCTGAAGAAAAGGTCAGAGTATCCCTCAATAATAACAAAAACATCCTGGACGATTAAAGACTGCATCTACAATGTTTCTGAGTTCTGACTCGTGTTGTTACCTAGAAAAACCTTCTTCCTAGAAAGTAGGTATAGTATAGAGTATAGTATACTAGAGAGTACGAAATAATATGGAGTATGGACTACTTCATAAGATTGATGAAGAATAGTTATTATCTTAAGTCGAGTTTTTTTCATAGAAATATTCCTTAAACTGTGTCATAGGTACATCAATGATGGAAGTAAGATATGGTGTAATTACTGATGCGCTTTTGTTTCAGAAATTTTACTCGACCTCTTCAGAACAGTGAGAGCAATGGTTCCGTCGATCTTCTAATAAATGTCGACATTGCACAATTATGATATCTGTCAGTTTTGAAATTGTCGCAGATTTTTCGAATTCACATCATGTATCTATTAATTAACAGTATGGGCCACAACCGTCACTAAGTGAAGCCAAAATCCTTAAGCGGCTGGAGAAGTGCGTCAATACATGACGCTGCTCGCTACTGCAATGAGTGCAATGGTTGGCGTTTCGTTTTGTTGACTTTTGTTTTGTTTACGTTTCGCTTCGCGGACATTTTATTAGGTGATGATTAGGTGGTGTAATGGTGTTATCATATATGGCATTATTAGAGAGTGTGATAAAATAACCTAAATTCTTCCATTTTGAATTTGGAATGTCTAGCAAACGTCAACATTTCTTCATCAACATTCAAGAATTTTGAGCATGCGCATTACATCGCTTTTGCCTATGCGTAGTCATTTGTTCAAAAAAAGTGGCTTCAAATTTTTGTGTATAAATGAGTGCTCGTGATCCATATAGTCTTTTAATACATATATGATTCACATACGTTCCGCGGACCTAAAATGCCATTTGCCATTTTATTTTCACTCGTCCTATACAAATTATAATCAGTTCTACCAACCTTGAGCAGCAATAGCAGCACCACCATCTAGCGGGAAAATGTAGAATCAACGTCTCGCTTGTTGTGACGTAGAGAAATCATAGTAGGCGGTCGAGTGATTTTTCTGAAATTTTCAATGGCCGAAGTGGGCCGAATGCGCGCACCATATCTTACTTCCATCATTGGTACAAAATTGAACAGCAAAACAAAGTTAATAATTCAAGGATAAGATAACTTCATCCGTTCGATTTATTCTACAAAAAATGCGCGGATTTTGTACGGATTCTTGATAGTAATTTGCGCGGATTTTGTAGCCTGCGTGTCAGTATGTATTTACTATGTTTCAGCCTATAATCCATTGGCAACACTGTTTAACACATTACTGACATTAGTGACATTACTAAACCAAACATAACCCAAGATTTTGTGTGCTTTTCGTTTTCAGTTTTCATCATCATTTCATTTCATCTTTATCTATTTAAAAACCCCGTTGAAAATGAATTACCGATAACACACGATAACCCTCAGTAAAGTTCAAATAATTTGTCAATATACATCAGCTTTTTATCATTATTACTTAATTGACGAATATTCTATCTTGAAACAGAACTTGTGTGGTCATGAAATAGGCATATTTGAAATGTTCAAGAGGGCAGTCAGTGTTTGCAGTGAATTAAAAGCCACCAGATCTTTTCATAAAGCTCTTCAGTTGAATCAGGAATTTGAGAATCCAATTTCAAGAACATTGAGAATATTAACGGATGATATACGTAATAAGAAAAAAGAAATTCTCAGAGATGAATATACACCATCTCTATCAAGAGGTTTTCCACGACAAGCAGATGTAGTGATAATAGGTGGAGGTGCGATAGGCAGTTCTATAGCATATTGGCTAAAGGAAAAAACCAGTTTAGAAGGAATCAGTGTTGTTGTACTTGAAAAGGATCCAACGGTAATAGAATCATATCCTTGACTATATCAACACAACAAAATTGATGCCATCATTCTGATGTTGATGAATATTTGTTTAATAAAATTTTCCTGAAACTGTTTGAACAAAGTTTGGAGTATATTTAATATCAGCAATGGTATCAATTGGGGAATCAATATAGCTTTTATATTTGATGACACTATAGTAAAATCAATTTACTATGTATAGGTAGTCATTGATACTGAATTGATACCTACTGGCATTTATTATACTCTGACATACCTAGTTTATTTTCAGTATAAATCATGTTCCACTGCCTTATCTGTGGGGGGACTGAGACAACAATTCTCATTGCCAGAAAATATTCAGATGTCCCTTTATGGTGCAGAGTTCTTGAGGACTCTGAAAAAAAGATTTGGACCAACAGCTGATGTCAATTTCCACCCTCATGGCTACCTGTTACTAGCAAGTCAAAATGGGGCATCTCAACTTGTAGATAATTCTAAAATACAAAAAGAACTAGGAGCTGTGAACATATTACTCAGCAAAGAAAATCTAAAAGAAAGGTAATTTGTGAGTCAATAACAAATGATATTGCTGTATATAAATTGCAGAGGCAGTTTCTGAGTGTTCCTTATGAACATTAGAAAACTAACATCAACATTTAATTTGAAAAAGTTATGAAAAATGTTGACTATATTTCTATGAATTTGTTGAAAGACACTCAAGGAAGATAACTTTTTGGCATGGAAGGATTATTATTATTATAATTTGTTCAATTCTAAACCAACTAAAGAAATATCCCCATTATTATATTGTTCCACCCTTCAATAATCACAGTCATAGAAAAACTGTTGGTGTATGGTGAATTTTTTTCACTTGGACCAAGAAGTACAAGTTCATTGCATATTAGTAGAAACTTCAGTGGATAGTAGTGGTTGAAATCAATTTTTTTTCAATATTAAATAAAATCATCAACTAATAGTACATTCATTATTACAAGTATAACAACAACAAGAATCATAGATAAAGAAATAAAACAAAGAATTTGAACTGAAGGAAACATAATTTCAAGTCATGAAATGATTTGATTTATTTTTGGCTCAACCTTTCTATGGCTTGAGCACAAACTTGACCCTTCATCACAAATGAAAACAACCCCATTACATCTCATGTAAACTAACATTTTTCCGTAATGTCCTGAAAAACTTGAGCTAGTTAAATTTCCCCAAACAACTGTAACCCCCTACAATAAAATGCCAATACCTGGTTCTACACATTATATTCCATGATCATAGTTATAGGAATTCAGAAAATTTAAACAATATTTACACCCTGTATAAATATTGAAACCAAAAAATCATAAAACTTATTAAATGTTGAAACCAAAACAACAAATATCAAAATTGTATCTGAATATAACAATCATAATGATGGTCTCCTATCCCAGCCTGATGATACCAATCTCCATTCAATGTTTTTTAGGATTGTCAGGGAGAGGAAGTTCCTCTGAGCTGAATTTCTTCATAAACTCATCTTGATATCCTGATTTGTTTTTTTCATAGGACACTGATATTGATATCTGTTGAATTTTGGTCAGTTCTTCTCTATTACAGCTCATTGTCTAGTTTAGTTTGTAGTTTATAACTGTCAAATGTTTATAGTTAGTTAAATTCATTTTTAATCATCATTTTGCCAATCGTGAGGCAGTTGATTGTTAATATTTTAGTAAGCATATTTTTATTTTTTATATTTTATTATTTTTATAACATAACAATGGCCCCTATTTTAGTGAACAAAAAGCTTAGCATTCACAAAATGAGAATCTCTATGAGAATGAATCTTGAACATGAGCATGAGGTACTCAACACAATGGACCTTTCCAGTCATTTCTTGAAAAAAATATATCTTGAAATATACGGCTCTGGAATCCCTTGAAATATCTATTTTAGTTTTTTTTATCAGTTCATCATATTTAAAATTGATAAAAACGCCAAAATTAACCAGCAAATTTATATGATCAGACATGGCCGCAAAAAACGTGACGTCAGTGCGAGACCAATTCGGATTAGGAAAGCCCTCACCTTCTCGCGGGTGCCAATAAAATGCACAATGGACTTGAAAATGCTGGCAATTTAGGCAGAAAGCTATGACTAGTTGAATATAAATTTCTAGATTTTTCATTTCAGCAAATAATACAGCTGCTGTTAGATATCCAACTAATAACTACTTACCTGAAAATTCGTGGTACTGAAAAATTGCATTGCATAATTAGATGGTTGATTTCTGTTCTTCTGATTCTTGACATTTAGTTTCAAATCCCTTCCAGTAAAGTACTTTCAAGTTTATGTACTCACCTATGGACCTACCTATACCTACCTACCATAGGAAAAGAAACAAATTCTGAATAAATCATTTCTATTGATTTTAGTACAAGCATCACTGCTTTCTTGTCAATAGTATTGAGAAATGAGAACAGTGAAGTTATGAAGGGAATCAGCTCTTTTTAACTTGGCACCATTGCTTAATTTCTTTCTCTCGCAGACATAGTTGCCAGATTAGCAATTGAATTTTCCGGGAATGAGTACTTGAGATATTAGATTTGGAATGGGGCCTTCGGGCTATCTGCCTCCACACTGCGACCTTTTCAGATCTATTGTGTCTGCCCTCAAAATCGATTAGAGTTCTTCGGCTAGCCCCGCCTTCTCTATGAGACTCCATAGGCTAGCTTTCAGGACTTGAGATATAGTAACATTCTTTAATTTGTTGAATATAACAATGGGGAAGTTTCCTTCAGATGCATTTCCATAAAATAAGTTCGGAACTCTCCAGTTTTATGTCCACGCTGTACAGAATGGCGACCGATAAAGTCCAAGTCGTTTTCATTTTCAAATTAAAGCAATTTCTAATTTTGAATCTATTTTGAAAATAGCTGATGGTGAAGAATATAGCTAGCGAATAGCTAACGAAAAGCTAACGAATGAAAAACGAATAAAAAAAAAGAAGAAGTGAAACTGGTAAACAAAAACATACATTACCACAAATGCACTCCTAGCAGGAATGCAGAATTACCAATCAGCTCTGGAATTCATTGCCTGAGGAAGTATTTCCAAGAACTTGTAATCTCCAGAAGTTTCAAAAAAGTTCCAACTCCTACCTCCTTTCCCTATCCTAGGTACGCCCGATGGTCTTCGAACATTATAGGGATCCCCTTTCGTGCGCACCAAGCGTTAAAAAAACTATACACAGTAAATTTGAATCATGTCATTCTTTGCATCATCTTGGACATATAGGATCAGTTCAAGGATTTTATAGAAATCTGGCAATGGCGGCGGTCTTCTCAGCCATCACAACTCCAACCAATCAAATTGCAAGAAGACACTGACATCACAGCTCAGTAGCGTTTGAATTCATAGGTATTGAAATTGCATTTTCAATATGAAATAATTCATTTGTTGTTCGGTATTTTCGATAAATATATGGTAGAGAAAACATTTTTGACTTCCCTTCATTACATTATAGCAAAAAGGGGTCAAATTTTATGATGCTGGTATGGCCCATTTATAATTTTCGTATTCCTATACCGAATGACACAGACCCCCTATATTTCTCAATTTTGAAACGTCAAATATGCTCACTAGAGAGCACTTTCTCACGCTTTAGCAAGGGCGTCGCCAGCGGAAAAAATAGGGGGGGGCACCATAAAAAAACTGAAGAGAAAAATCAAATAGAAAGAGTTTAATGAGAAAATCAAAAAACAAAAAAATCTATACAGTAAATCAGTTGAAAAATAATCTTCTAGGGATCTTTGGGAATTCGTTGGTCACTTTTTGACGAAATCGTTCAAGTTTTTGAAAATATGTTGCCTGTGTATACTCATCATTGCGAGGCCATTGAGTCGAGCATCATGAATGGTGCTCCTCAACCAGGTTTTGATTCTCCTAAGGCTACTAAATGACCTTTCAACTGTACAAATCTTACAAGGTTAAGGCAACAAGGATCTTCAGAGCCTTCTCAACTTCAGGAGAAAAATATACTTTCGGAAGTTCTTTGCTCAAAGTGAGCGTTATCATAAGTAATATCATGATATTCTGAATATTCGAGATAATTCTGTCATTGTTCACGAAATTGTGTTGCTGAGCAACACCACGAGTCAGGACGAAAGGTAGGGCTGTACGGCAACACAATAGATTTGACAAGGAAATGAAGAATTATGAGAATATTCAGAACAGAGTGGAGACTATTTCACGTTCACGAAGCAAAGAAGCATTTATTTTGAATGAATGATTCATTCTGACAAGTACAGTCATTATTTTTTGCCAAATTGACAGACTTCGCTTCGCTACCCATGGTTACATCGTTGAAAACATCTAGTTTTCGCGATAAGCACACGTTTTCTCTGGCTTGTGATTGGTCAGATTATGTAATGAATGAAATATTCGTTTCAATGATAGCAGGGTGATTGGTGAGCGTTAAACGTAGGGGGGGGGGGGCAGCTGCCCCACCCTGCCCCTCTCTGGCGACGCCCTTGCGCTTTAGGAATGTTTTTCATCATCCGGTTTTCCCGGAAAGGACATCAACTTTCGATTTCCAAATAGGACACCTTGTATTCCACTTTCAAAAAACATCCTGTAGAGACCAAAATAATGTTGTACCATATCCCTTCCAATACCGTAAACAGATTACGGTTCTTCTTTAATCAGCACATAGAATCATGAACGGATAATTGTGCTATTTCATCTACGGAATTCTTAAAACTTCCTAGAGAACGAACATAACTATGTAGTCATAAATCTTTTTTTTTTCTTACTCTGATCTGTGTTATTGTACGAAAGCGTCTAGGGGTCTGACAATTGAAATTAAATTATTTTTTTCACAATATATTGGAAAAAAATCCAGTTTATTGGAATAAAATCCAACATATTGAAAATAAAATCCAATATGTTGGAAAAAAAAAACATATATTGAAAAAAAATCCATATTGGATTTTTTTCCAACATACTGTATTTTTTCCAATATCGGATTTCTTTTTCAACATATTGGACTTTTTTTTTCAATATATTGGATTTCTTTCCCAATAGATTGTAAAATTATAATTACAAGATATAAGTGTTGAAAAGGAATATTCTCAGATGAATTATGAACGTACAAAAATGGATATATATTTATATAAAGCAATACATTGAGAATTCGCATTCTCTATGTGATGAGAATATTTACTCTTTTTCAGTTAATTCAATAGAAAACAACTACTTTCCTGGCTATATGCCACGACGAACATTGAATTATATCTATTGAACACACACGATAAGAGTTTGAAAATAAAATATAAAAATTTCTGAAATTGAGAATTTGCATTCTCCTTCAGACAAAAATATGTATATACACACATCATTCTGAATATTCAACAGAAAACAACTACTTTCCTGGCTATTTGCCACGTCGAACATTGAATTATATCTGATGAACATTCAAAAGGGGAACATGAAAAATAAAGAATAAAATCCTCCAAAATTGAGAATTGACATTCTTCTTCAAATCGGATGAATAATATGATGAATAATGATCTAGAAATATGACTTACCAATATATTCAGCATTGAAATGAAAATTGGAATGTATAGGTAAGTCATATTTCTAGATCATTATTCATCATATTATTCATCCGATTTGAAGAAGAATGTCAATTCTCAATTTTGGAGGATTTTATTCTTTATTTTTCATGTTCCCCTTTTGAATGTTCATCAGATATAATTCAATGTTCGACGTGGCAAATAGCCAGGAAAGTAGTTGTTTTCTGTTGAATATTCAGAATGATGTGTGTATATACATATTTTTGTCTGAAGGAGAATGCAAATTCTCAATTTCAGAAATTTTTATATTTTATTTTCAAACTCTTATCGTGTGTGTTCAATAGATATAATTCAATGTTCGTCGTGGCATATAGCCAGGAAAGTAGTTGTTTTCTATTGAATTAACTGAAAAAGAGTAAATATTCTCATCACATAGAGAATGCGAATTCTCAATGTATTGCTTTATATAAATATATATCCATTTTTGTACGTTCATAATTCATCTGAGAATATTCCTTTTCAACACTTTCATACCCAATCAGGGGGTTCAAACTTGAACGATGGAAACTTGTGATTTTTATAGACCTCTAATCGCAGATTCGTGATAGAGTCTCAATTCAGAATTCATTTCCACGCCCTGTATGATGAATGTCAATTTATCATACACCCAAATACAAGATATAAATTCATTAGAACCCTCAAATCAGTACATAGGTAATGAAGGAGTTACACAGTAAACCCATAGGATTTATTTAAAACATAATAATTCAACTTTCGATTACGACAACCCATTATCAATGAGTTTCTAGTTCTTGAATGCTCGTTTCATTGTTCATCATATCTATTAGTATGATTCATCGCAGCGCTTGAGAATTAAATACTACATCAGGATGATGCATATTGCTATGCAAGATTTCAAAAATTTCTGGATCTGCCATAATAGGATGCAGAGTTCCTGATATTTTTTCAGATATCAGGGACATCTCCTATACCTACAATATGCCTTGTTGAGTAGCGAGTAGCTTGAGTACAAATAATAAGTAATGTTGCTCAACATCACCACGGCAGAAAATGTAAAACATTCCAATCATGTTTCGCTTCGCATGTTTGCTAAGTGACCATCACAAACACAACACATTTCATTCAATTTCATACATTCGATTCTATATCTGGAGCTATGATTAAGTAAGTTATTTAGCCTACGGCCACTATAGAAAGTAGGCAAGAACACACGAGATACAGACTCAGTAAGAAGCTCTATACGCACAGTAAACACATCGCACAGTTTTCGTTTATTCCGCCACTATTCGCGGGAATCAATGTTACCAGGTGGCGCTCGGTTTTAATCGTTCCATGTCAAAGCCACGTCAAAACTGGGGGAAAACAAACTCAATCCTCACTCAATCCCATTAGTGGCATTAGCTTGTGTACTGTGTACTGATAAGAGTGATAACACTTTATGTCATTGACACAAGTTTGACAACTAAAGCTACAGCAAGATGTATGCAATGTAGTCTATGCACTTTATTCATAGACAACAGTTTGTTTTCCCCCAGTTTGAAGTTCGTATTATGTAACCTAGATGTCGCACACTTCGTGAATCTCGCGAATAGGTGTCATAGGTATGTCATGATCGCGTAATCGCCGTCAACAGCGGATGACATAACTGTTAAGAATTATAATTCCGACTGTCCAAACATTTTTGATGTACTATATGACAGTAGGTAAAGTATAGTACGTAATGCGTTGTGAAGCAATTACGCACTCGCCACTCCGCGGCTGCGTGCTCAACTTTTCCATTCGTGCGTAATATGCTTGTTACAACACATATTACGTTATATACTATTAATGCATTCAACTTGGAATATACCTTTAGGTACTATAATATTGAATTGAATATTGTAAAGTTTCGGAGCATCGGCCGGGGATGGTCTTGCACGATTCGCTGTTGCGTTCCAATTAACAGTGCTGCTCCTAAAGTGGCGCATGGAGTTAGTAACAGAGCCTACACAGAACACGCAGAAAGATATGATGATGTGGTTGTGAGCATCAGAGAAGAAGTAGGACGGTGTATGTAGGTGGGTGTGGAAAACTACCAGCTGAGCGTGAGAGCGGGCCAGCTGCTTAAGTAGACCTCGATCTCGGGGGTTAACGAGGATAGTTGTAGCAGGCCTGCCACTGCGCATATGATAGTGAGTACATTACTAGCCTACAAAACACAGCTGAAAAACTCTGAAAAGAGAGCTGATGGGCGGTGCCTGAAAAGGATGTTAGCCAGCTCTCTTTAGCGAACCACATCAGTCATTGACAACACTTGGGGTTTGCAAAAAGGTCCCATTGGGGACTAGTTGCTGACGTGGAAACGTCCCCCACCAGTACCAGTACCAGTTAGGTACTATAATTTGATCAGGAATATGAGGTCTTATGGGGCATCTAAAAAAAGTCACCATCGTCCATTTCAATGTCTTATCGTGTGATTTTCATTTTCCAATATATTGGATTTTTTCCAATATATTGGACCTTTTTTCACAACATATTGGATTTTTTCCAACATATAGGATTTCTTTTTCCAACATATAACATGTTTTTTCCAACATATTGGATTTTTTTTCCAATATGTTGGATTTTTTTCCGGATATATTGGATTTTTTTCCAATACATTGGAAAAAAATATTTCAATTGTTTGACCCCTAGACGCTTTCGTGTAATTGTCCTAATAGCAGATTTTAAATCATTTACTATTTTGAGTATTCATCTAACTGAAGATGATGACAAATAATACTGGTCTGATTTTGGCAGATTTCCCTACCTAGACGTTTCTGATGTTGAACTTGGTTGTTTGGGCTTGGAAAAAGAAGGATGGTTTGATCCATGGTCTCTTCTCAGCTTGCTTAAAAAAGGTGCCACACAATTAGGCGCCCAATATATCCATGGTGAGGCTGTAGATTTCACATTTCATGAACAGACCGACATAATTGTGGAAGGTGTAGAAACTGGAAATTATCAAGCCACTAACGAGTTAGTTGTGAGTAATCACTTTGGTGAATTTTTTATACTTAAGATAATTATGTCCTACTTAGATGATCATAAAATATTTAATAAACAATTGCACTTCACTCAGTTCTATTCAACTAAAATAATATATATAAATATATTTTTTTCGGCAACCGCTTTTTCTTTGAGAAAGTAGCATATTTCCGGCCTATTCCAGGACTAGAAATTGAATTAACAATGAAAGACAGCATTATGAGAAGATATTCAGAACAGAATGGTATTTTGCTAGAATATTCACGTTCATGAAGCACAAAAAGCATTTTTTGTAAATGAGTGACTCATTCTGACAAGTACAGCCATATTTATTTTATGCTAAACTGACAGACTTTTCTTTACTATCCATGGATACATCCAGACTTTGCTTCTATCTATGGTTACACATATACGTATTAATAATCAATACGGATAATCTCTATCTGTTTCCATAGCGAAACATGAAGCCGATTTTTGAAGACAAATGACTATCCATAAGGAAAAGTGAGATACGATCAGACACATACTGCTTTGATTGAAAGGCTAGTAAACGTCATTGTCCACCGAAACGCATGTCTTTGATGACTACGTATCATGCCACCAAATCCTTATGGATATTCATTTGTTTCATATTTTTGGCTTCATCCTGGCACCCGTTATGATCCGTATTGTTTATTAATACGTATATGTGGTTACATCGTTGAAAACATCAACGCTGATAGACCAATTAGAATTGAAAGACAACTAATGTTTTGTGATGTGATGAGGCACTGTAACTATGACAATCTTGGTAGATAAATGCAGATGCATTATCATAGCAACTAAATAACGGCTGACAGCTATTTGAAACGAAATTAGTTGACATTTCGGTTATTGAAAGTTTGCATCGTTCTTGGTTGCAATTATCCCAATAAACTATCGAAAGCAGCTGTTAGTAGGAATATGGATTCTGTTCAAATTTCAGTATTTTATACAAATAAAAATCAAAATGTTCGAAATTTTAGTCTACAAAGAAATATGATATGGAAATGTGTCTCATTGATTTGTTATTCAACATGGTTGCCGAAAAAATAGTGTACGCAAACATGCCCAAAAACAGTTTTCTTGGACTAGCAGACTTCCAGGACTCGTCAACGGCTAAGCCTATAATTTTGTTTACTCGTCAAAAAAAACGGTATTTCCGGACTTACGTTATTTACATATAAAAAATTGTGTAAAAAATTCTGTATACAAAATGCAATTTCTTATCTCTGATACATTAAATTTATTGAAATATAGATAGTAGAAGATCCGAACCTAAATCGACCTTCACCGAGCTGATAATAGAACGAAATATATTTTATCATGAATTTAGTATATTAGAAAACATATTGAAAATGGGTTCGCTTAAAAAATCCTGGGCAGACTATTTTTAATTATTTTTCGAAAAATGATTTTTAATTAAATGTTGCAACATCAGGATAATAAAAAATTTTTGTCCTGACTGAAAGTATAAAACGTATAGAATGTGCAGCCGTGGGGTTGTCTACTATTTACCTGGGCGAACTACTGGGTTGTCAGGTAAACACAGGTATATCGATGCCAGTTACTTTCACTGGATTGGATAATTAAAAAAAATGTATATCATCATAAGCGCTGTTTAATTGCGAACACGTTGATATAGGGTTGTCTGCGAAAATTCCGGTCCTATTAGGGGTTTGCGAATTTTAAAGATTTTAACTTTCTACTATTCAGGGTCCCATCACAAGCGACTGCGATGTTGGGTCCTTTATTATTACACAGTATACTTACCTCGGATCTCTCTGTCACACACTTCCACGCGCGTTGAAATTAAAATCTTTAAAATTCGCAAACCCCTAATAGGACCAGAATTTTCGCAGACAACCCTATATCAACGTGTTCGCAATTAAACAGCGCTTATGATGATATAAATTTTTTTAAATTATCCAATCCAGTGAAAGTAACTTGCATCGATATACCTGTGTTTACCTGACAACCCATCAGTAGTTCGCCCAGGTAAATAGTGTAGACAACCCAACGCCTGCACATTCTATACGTTTTATACTTTCAGTCAGGACAAAATTTTTTTATTATCCTGATGTTGCAACATTTAATTAAAAATCATTGTTCGAAAAATAATTAAAAATAGTCTGCCCAGGATTTTTTTAGCGAACCCATTTTTAATATGTTTTCTAATGTACTAAATTCATGATAAAATATATTTCGTTCAATTATCAGCTCGGTGAAGGTCGATTTAGGTTCGGATCTTAGACTAAGATAACAATATTTTTGTCCTATCATGTTAGACTAGATTATGAGATACACAAGTATAAGTTAATAAAGTATTAAAGTGGAAACTTCTTTAGGCGCGTTCAGCATTTTTTTGGGAATTCGGGGTAAAGAATAAAATTGCATTTTGCGTCATCGTCACCTTGAAGTTACTGATAAAGGTGGCTCCCATGCATATAAGAACGACTGGACCAATTTTCATTATATTTGATTTTATATTAGAATTCATGAAAATTCGGATATTCAGGATGGCGAGTTTTGTAATCATGATCCGATTCTATTCAAACTTGTATCTAGGAGTTTTCGCGGGGTCAGAGAATATGATTCATTCGTCAAAATGAGGAAATTCAAGATGACGGAACCAATATGTCGGATTTTGTGATTATAATCCGACTATTCAAAATTGGTAACTGGGGGTTTTCGGGGTCCTAGATTATCATTAATTTGTCATAATTTGGAAAATTCAAGATGACAGAACGGATATGGCGGACGAGTTTTGTAATTATATGTACCGATTCAGTTCAAAATTGGAATCTAGGGGTATTTTGGGTCCGAATAAATTATAATTCTTTCGTCAAAATTTGGAAATTCAAGATGTCGCATCTAATATGGCACACGAGTTTTGAAATTATGATCCGATCCTATTCAAAATTTGTATTATGAGGGTTTTCGTGGTCAGCGATTGTGATTCCTCCATCAAAATGATTGAGAAATTCAAGATGGTGGATTCAATATTTCGGTCGAGTTTTTTAATTATGATCCGATTCTATACGAAATTTTGTTCAATGCTTCTAGGTTAAACTACCAAATGAAGATGAATGTAGGACTCTCGAATTTTCTATTTGTATCATAGCTGCCGGATGTGAGTCCAGGGAAATAGCGCAACAAGCAAAAATTGGCGTCGGTGAAGGAATGCTCTCCGTCCCACTGCCAATAGAAAGAAGGTAGCGGTCAGCAAGGATTTTTAATGTACGTTCCATGACTAACGTGAATCTTACTTTCAGGAAAAGATATGTATATTCTTTCAACTGCCAACAAAATGCTCCCAGTATAAACACTCCTATGGTTATCGATTACTCAGGAATGTATTTCAGACGGGACGGATTGGGGGGTTCTTTCATTGCAGGAATGTCACCTGAACTAGATGATGAACCTCCTACGAATAATTTAGACGTAGATTTCTCCTATTTTGATGATAAAATTTGGCCTGTCTTGTCCAAAAGGGTTCCTGCCTTTGAAGCCATAAAGGTAATGCATTCGGATTTTGGTAGGATATGTAATACTAGAGTGCCTGGAACATCTCTTTACACACCCTTCAAAGGACGTGTAAGGAGATGTTCCAGGAATTCTAGGTCATACAATCCTCAACACATTAAGTGCCTCACTCTGAAGTTGACTCATTTTCAACAACAACCAAGTGTATTTACGGAAGGAATTGATACTATATTGATGAATTATTTTATTTATTAACTGTGTGTATGACTTCTATTATTTTTGATATTGGTGTAACTGTAAATAAATGATTATATCATTACAGGTTACAAATGGATGGAGTGGCTTTTATGAATACAATACCTATGATATGAATGGTATAATTGGTCCTCATCCATATTACTCAAGCATTTATATAGCATCAGGATTTAGCGGCCATGGTAATGTCAAAAAAAATCTAAAATTGGATTTACTATATTTGTGAAATTTAAGGTATACAACAGGCGCCTGCGGTTGGAAGAGCTATTGCTGAATTAATTTTGGATGGCCGTTTCATGACCATAGATCTAACAAGATTAGGATTTGATAGATTAATTGTTGATCAACCAGCTCTAGAATCAGAAATAATATAGTGACAGCATTGTGACACTCATAACCGGAAGATCGAAGTGCACAAAATCGACTTGTTGGATGGTTATAAAAAAGAATATGACGCTGGCGAGATTTTTCTTCTTTCAAATATGAAAGGACAGCCTCATAATTGTATGCTTTTGCAGAAAAAAAGCACTCATTAATATAAATGCTATATCCATACATTGAAATACAATATTTTTTATTGATATTGAAATGAATCATATAAAGTGTAGTGTGTATGTATAGGAAATATAGAAAAGGTATACCTATATAGAACAATGGGTAAAAATGAATTGAAAGAAATTTCTTTTCTCAAAGAAACAAAAAAAAATCATTCAGTACGGCGAGTTTGAGTATTGCATTATAATTTCTGTCACGAGCGTTTGTTTCTTTATAAACAAGGGCACCAGATGGCAAAGGAGCCTACGCCTCCTCTCCTGTACCATGGGTAGTCCCACCTCTGTAAGGAAACAAAATTGTTTTTAACCTACTTATTGGTTTTTATAATTTTTGCAAATATATTTTCTGTTTTCCAACTGTTTTAATTCATTTCTTGCCATATTTCCTTTCCTTACCTGACTGTTTGATCATTGGTAAAAATGTTGTTATAACCCAATGACGGCTAATCAGCTGCCGACCTGATCATTCAGGCAGCTTACTTGATATTTAGCCGTCATTGTTCTAACCTGAGATTTCTAACCATATACGTATTAATAATCAATACGGATAATCTCTATCTGTTTCCATAGCGAAACATGAAGCCGATTTTTGAAGACAAATGACTATCCATAAGGAAAAGTTTTGAAACGATCAGACACATACTGCTTTGATTGAAAGGCTAGTAAACGTCATTGTCCACCGAAACGCATGTCTTTGATGACTACTATAATAGCGCATGGCGCATGCGTATCATGCCACCAAATCCTTATGGATATTCATTTGTTTCATATTTTTGGCTTCATCCTGGCACCCGTTATGATCCGTATTGTTTATTAATACGTATATGGTTCTAACCCACTTCCCGCGTTGACGGATTGAGATGAAATTTGGCACTTGGTTGCAATCATATATATATATATATATATAGGGGAAGAGGATAACGCCTCCAAATTAGCGGAGTAGCGCACGAAAGGAAATCCCCGAGGGGTAAACCGCGGTGGAATTCTGGTGTACAAACAACTTGAATTCCCAGGAATTCTTTGGGTGCAGTGCGGTATACTCCTGGGGCCCGATTCTCGAATCTGTAGGAATTCGATCCTATAGGAGAATGATCCAATGCTTTCAGTTCTCATAGGAAATGATAATTTGTCATGACACCTATTCTTGAACCAGATGGAATCGTTTTTCCCAGGGGAATGAAAAAGTGCCGTATGTCTCAGATAGATTCTTGAACTTACATGAATTCACCAATGAAATAAGTGGAATTCATGTTGGTAACTAGTGGATGATTGAAATCTCTATTGAAATGAAATGATGACATTTTGATTCTGACTAATTTTGAGGTTATAGAATAATATAATAATTTTGCTACTGTGAGATTATTGTGTATTGTATAATTTACTTTATTTCTTCTGATCGAAATGGATATGGATACAAACACTATTAAAAAACCACATGGTGGTAGTATTAGCAAAGAGCAGACAATAAGACACTTAATAGAAATAATGGAGGCCTCTGAGAACTTGAGGAAAGGAAAATGTCACCCCCAATTCACAAGGATTCTAAAGTACCTATCAATTTTCTATAGTAATGTCTTTGGACAAACGAAAAACTTTAATAAATTGTGCAGCAGACAAACACTCATCAATTGGTCCCTTCTACGCAGAAACCTTCTTCTTAGTCTTCTAGCAAGGATTTCAGCCACTTCCAAATTTTGAAAAGCCTCTATAGATGATCTATTTCATCTATGTTTGCCATGTTTTGCAATACATATGTTTTTCTGATTTCTCACTAAGGTTCAGTTCCCATCACAAATGAGAATAACTTCGCATTTCATGAGTGTATCCTATGGGAAACATGTTGTTCCCGTGGGTATAACCATGGGAAGCAGTTCCCTTGAAATGTGTAGGAATAGTTTCCCATACAATATTTCAAGAATACATCATCTCAAATTTCCATGGGAAATATCGAGTTTTTCCCATGGGAACGAATTCCAACGGATTCGAGAATCGGGCCCCTGGTCTACAAACAAATGGAATTCGTTATTGAAATTCCTTGGATTTCCTTGGAATTCTTGGGGTAAAGTGCAGTATAATTTTGGTGTAGTTACGAACAACTGGAATTGCTTGGATTTCCTTGGAATTTCTTGGATTTCCTTGGAATTCCTTGGAGTTCCTTGGAATCCCTTGTGTGAAGTGCAGTATAATTCTGCTGTACAAACAACTGGAATTTCTTCGAATTCCTTGTTAAATTGAAGTTTGGTGTACACAATTCTGACCGCGGTTTACCCCTCGGAAATCTCTATAATGTTCGAAGAATATCGTGCGCACCTATATATGGATGATAGGGAGGGGAAAATGTATATCTGAGGAGTTTTAGAAGATTGGAATGAAGTGGAATGCAAGATATAATGAGTTTTTCATTACTCGTCGGTAAACAATGTTTAGGAGTTTTTAGGGTTGCAGAACAGATATCTAATCTTTGTTAGTTGTTTGCAAAACTGTACCCAGATAACACCTACCATCGGCCCAGCATTTGTAACGCACACCTCTCCCGGCGGCCGGCAGTTCATGTACTTTTCCGGCGTCAAGGTGTCCAGGCGGCCGTAAGCCGGCCGTAATACACATGACCGGCGATTAAATATGGATTAAATTATTGACTCAGAAGTGCTACAGCGGCAAGAAATTTCAATGCACCATTAATGGGAGCGCTCAGCCCACCAACGTAAATGTGCTAGCAAATCTGTATAAAGGACGATGAGTTTTTCGAGCACTTTCCAAGTATCTGACCGCGAACTACCAAATTAATATAAAAATACCGCCACGGCAATGCAACAACACTGATAGCGAATTCCATTGGCAGAAAAAGGCAGGAGCTGGTAGAGTGTTTCTGCACTCACTGAATGTTTTCTTCTTACTCGCATGTGTTAAACAGAAAGTACCTAATACACACCCAGTGGAGAAACGCTTCAACAGTTCCTGCCAATGGAATTCGCTATGAGCGGCGAGTCATGTCCTTCTTTCTCCTGCAAGGAACTGGGGGGGATATTCGCAGGATATTCGATACTCGCAAGTAAGATGCCTAGAGACAAGCGAATCCCCGATACGTATGTTTGGGCAAAACTAATTCATGCATAGGTCGCGTGCAAGAACTGTCAGATGACCGACCCTGGAGGCAAAACATATTTGTTTACAAGTGATCGAAATAGTTTTCCACAATTATTTTGGCATATGAATCGTATTTTTCCGCTATTCATCAATTCGCTAATGGCATCACATTGTGCTGTTGTAAAATGCACAAAAACTGCAGCGGAAGATGAAGAAATCCGGATGGTACATTATGATTCAAAAGTAAGTACCTACCATTACCTACTATAGTCACTCATATAGTTTTCATTTTTGAAATTTGGATTTCTCTGATTTCTCATCGGAATTCCTTCTGCAATAATAGGATCTGCTAATAGAAATATTCCTGAAATTTCTAGAATAATACAAGAAGATTGGATCTATGCAATCAATCGGTAGGACTGGTCTGACATGCTGACGATCGTGTGTGTTGTAGACATTTTCAATCTATTAGCAGCATTGCAGAAGTGGCAGAAGGCAGAAGGAATTTTAATAAGGAATGACAACATTTCATAATGCTAACTATGTGAGATTACTATATACCTGAAAAATCATATTTCCTAGTCTCTTGCTACATTTTTTGTGCATTGTACAACAGCACAATGCGAAGGCATGCTTGAATTAATGAATAACGCAAGAAACACGATTCGTATGCCAAAATATTGTGAAAAACTATTTCAACCTTTTGATTCCTCTGTAACCAAATGAAAAAGTGAGGTTGTGTTTCAATAATTCACAGAAGAATGAGGTTGTGTTTCAATATTTTGCCTCCAGGGTCGGTCTTCGTGCACGCGACCTATAGGTAAATAGTAATCTCACATAGTTAGCATTATGAAATGTTGTCATTCCTTATTAAAATTCCTTCTGCCTTCTGCCACTTCTGCAATTCAAGCTAATGCTGCTAATAGATTGAAAATGTCTACAACACACACGATCGTCAGCATGTCAGACCAGTCCTACCGATTGATTGCATGAATCCAATCTTCTTGCATTATTCTAGAAATTTCAGGTATATTTCTATTAGCTGATCCTATTGCAGAAGGAATTCCGATGAGAAATCAGAGAAATAACCAAATTTCAAAAATGAAAACTATGTGAGTGACTATAGTAGGTACTTACTTTTGAATCATAATGTACCATCCGGATTTCTTCATCTTTTGCTGCAGTTTTTGTGCATTCTACAACAGCACAATGTGAGGCATTAGCGAATTGATGAATAGCGGAAAAATACGATTCATATGCCAAAATAATTGTGGAAAACTATTTCGATCACTTGTAAACAAATATGTTTTGCCTCCAGGGTCGGTCATCTGACAGTTCTTGCACGCGACCTATAGGTCGCGTGCACGAAGACCGACCCTGGAGGCGAAATATTGAAACACAACCTCATTCTTCTGTGAATTATTGAAACACAACCTCACTTTTTTATTTGGTTACAGAGGAATCAAAAGGTTGGAATAGTTTTTCACAATATTTTGGCATACGAATCGTGTTTCTTGCGTTATTCATTAATTCATCAAGCATGCCTTCGCATTGTGCTGTTGTACAATGCACAAAAAATGCAGCAAGAGACTAGGGAATATGATTTTTCAGGTAAATAGTAATCTCACATAGTTATCATTATGAAATGTTGTCATTCCCTATTAAAATTCCTTCTGCCTTCTGCCACTTCTGCAATACAAGCTAATGCTGCTAATAGATTGAAAATGTCTACAACACACACGATCGTCAGCATGTCAGACCAGTCCTACCGATTGATTGCATGAATCCAAGCTTCTTGCATTATTCTAGAAATTTCAGGTATATTTCTATTAGCTGATCCTATTGCAGAAGGAATTCCGATGAGAAATCAGAGAAATAACCAAATTTCAAAAATGAAAACTATGTGAGTGAATAATTATAGTAGGTACTTACTTTTGAATCATAATGTACCATCCGGATTTCTTCATCTTCCGCTGCAGTTTTTGTGCATTTTACAACAGCACAATGTGATGGCATTAGCGAATTGATGAATAGCGGAAAAATACGATTCATATGCCAAAATAATTGTGGAAAACTATTTCGATCACTTGTAAACAAATATGTTTTGCCTCCAGGGTCGGTCATCTGACAGTTCTTGCACGCGACCTATACCTTTGTGATAACCTAACCTAAAATTCAAAGTGTCAACATGTCAAATCTCATATCAAATGTCAAAATAGTCAAAAAGAAAGAAAAGACATTTCGTTTTCTAAATAAATTGTTTACTTTACCACAGAATTTGGTTTGGACTAGTATGGTGTTGCAATAAATATATAAGAAATATTTAGTTTTGGACGGCTAAAAGGTTGTGTGCCGTCTGACGATTGCTTATAGATAATAAGTTCATCTGTATTCATTAAAATGACTACAGCCGCTCGGCCAACATTCGAGCCAGCTAGAGGGGGAACAGGAAGGAATGAAAAGGATTTGAGTGCCATTTCCAGACAATACTCTAGTAGAGATTTGCCTGGACATACCAAATTGAAATACAGGTAAATATGAGCATGTGCTTGTTTCATCAAAGTATTTGTTGATCCCTTGAGCCAGATGTAACATATTTTTAAAAATTGGTTGTTCTCTTAGGGAGCATGGACAAGGTACAGTGGACGAAACCAGGTCACGAGATTTCCGCAAAGAACTTGAAGAGCGAGAGAGGGAAAAAAGACATGGAGTTCGAGGATCTGACCATAGCAAGAGGCTGAAACTGGACCAAGTACCAGCTGCCAGCTTAGATGCAGATGATCCACTGGATGAAGAAGATTCTGACTCAAGTGATGATGATGATGACACAGAGGCTCTGCTAGCAGAGCTCAACAGAATTAAAAAAGAAAGAGCTATAGAACAGGCCAAAAAAGAAGTAGAGAGAAGACAGGAAGAAGAAAGGATCAGAATGGAAAACATCCTGAGTGGAAACCCTTTGTTGACTCATTATTCTTCTGGTGGAGGAAAAATTGATCACAAAGTTAAAAGGAGATGGGATGATGATGTAGTGTTCAAGAATTGTGCTAAATCTCAGCCAGAGAAAAAACCAAATGTGTTTATCAATGATTCCTTGCGTTCAGAGTTTCACAAAAAGTTTATGGAGAAGTACGTCAAATGAATAATCTTGATAGGTAACAAGGAGCTACTGAGGTATAATATAATGTTGATTAATTATGACTCCACTTCTCAGCTCAGCAAAGCAAGAGAGAAGTGAATGCCAGGACTGAAGTTGAAACAATATTTTTCACAATCTTTTTCTGTACTTTTTTGACATCTGTATATTGATTTAGTCAACTATTTATTTTTGAAGTAAAAGTAAATCACAGAAAGTAAACAGGAACAACCTAAATTTAGTTTTTGTATTATTTTTGCATACATTCACAAAAACCAAATAAATAAGTATTGTCATTGTCTTGGTGTGTTAGATAATGGGTGTGATTCAATTGATGGCTAAAAATATAGTAAATGGTTCCTTAGCTCACCTGAAGAAGAACAGTTCATATGAACATATGCCCTTATCCCTAATCCTCTTAACTTTAGAGCTATAGGCAGTTAAATTTTTAAACAAAAACAATTTTTTCTTTCAACACTGTTCTAGTTATTTTCATGAAATTTGACATGCACCTACTAAGCACATGGTAGTTCCTAGGTAAGAAGTGTTTTGTGTAATTTTCATTAAAGTGAAGTAAATTGATTCAATCAGCCAAAATTGTTGAAGATTTCAAAAATTATTTTTATTTTTGGAAAAAGCAATAAGGGTGTACCATATTTTTTTAGAAAAATTTCCATGTCAAGTCATCTCACAGACTCTACCAAAACTCTTTCCTCTATAGAAGTGCAAAGCTTTGGAATGGGGTTTTTATCTCACTGTGAAGTTTGTTGAAAATCAATATATACCTATTTTTTCACTTCAGAAAAAATAAAAATAAAAGAGGAACTTGATGGCTCCCCCATCATTCCTATGACTCACTTTCTGAAAATCCACATTTACACAGAGTTAAAATCATTGGTTGAAATACGATTCCCTGTACCAGCACCACGTTGCATCAATTTGTCTAGATTTCCGGAAATTGTTCTTTGAATGCATAATAACTATATCATAACAGAAATGGAATATAATAGGTTCTTCAATCCTACTTTGTCAAGTATTATGAATAATTCCCATAAATCTCTCATTGGCTGAATGAAGTTGATTGCTAATATCTATCGTTATATTACAATATATGTCAGTCATTTTTGCTAATAAATTCGTTCTTTAATAAAACGGATCATTTTTCTAGGAAAGTCGCAGTTATTTGTAAACAAATTGTCAAATATTTAGATGACGGACCAAAGTTAAAATAATTTCAACTTTTCTCCGACAACGGAACAAATGTTTCCCGCTATAATATTTCCACCAATCACATTACGTTCGTACAATCGTATCGTCGGATGACGGACCAGTGGACATTTACCTTAACACTTCCAGTTCGTCCACACCACTCAAAATACTGACGGAGGCACAACAAGAGGAAGGAGCCATGGGTGTCGGCTTCATTCTGTTCTGGCCAATGGCAGTAAATTAAAAAGGATAGTATTGAATGTAGCCGTCAGAATGAAGCCAACTACCTTCTTTATTCCTGCTCCGAATGCATGTGTGGTTATGTTTATTTTTGTTCGTCAGTATTAGGTTCTTCTTCTTCTTCTTCTTCTTCGAAGCACTGGTGGGCGGGTGAACCCCCTGCACGTGGGCCTCCTTATTCGGGCCCATTGTGCGCCCACATGTTACAACATTCAGTTGGGTATGCCGACTGCCTTGGAGAAGTTCATCAGCTTCCTCAGCTGAATCTCTTTTACGTCCTCTGGCCTCAAGATTATGTTGCCAAGGACAGCCCTCCTCTGATGCGTCAGTGCTGGACACTCGGTGAGGACATGTGATGACGTTTCGTCATCTTCCAGGCACCATCTGCAAAGGGGGTCATCCTTGATCCCAATAAGCTCTAGGTGCCTATTGAGGTGGTTGTGCCCCGTTAGGAGCCCCACTACCATTTTAAGGTTTCGCCTGTTTAGGAATAAAACCTCTTTTGCGAGCCTCTTCGAAGGTTCCTTTATGTGGAGCTTCGATTGTCTCATTCCTGGTGTGTCCTTCCATGTTTTGAGGAATTGCTTTTGCAGCTGTTCCTCTATAGAGGACATTGCCAGGCTATTTGGTATTCCCAAGATTGGTTCCGGTCCGACCGGGGTCCGTCCTGAACCGATCTTTGCCAGTCTGTCTGCCTCCTCGTTTCCGGGTATTCCCGAATGTCCCGGAACCCACATGAGGCTGACTTTTCTTGATTTTGCCAGGTTTTCCAAGGCTTTTCTGCACTCGGACACCAGTATTAGGTTAGGTACTTACTTCTATTTTTTTCATTCGTTTTACATTCGTTAGCTATTCCTTATCGTTTGCTATATTCTTCACCATCAGCTATTTTCAGACTAGATTCAGAATGTATACGTCTCAGTTTGACGCCCCGAAAATTACAATATTGCTTTAATTTGAAAATAAGTATTCCTCCGAAAGTTCACAGAAAATTCCAACACCTACCTCCCTATCCCTCCTAGGTACACACGATGTTCCATGAATTTTAAAGGAATTTCCTTTGGCGCACCCACAGAGATAAAAAAAGGATCTTCTGCATCAAGAAATGCCTATTGGGGCTTAGTAGGTGCATGTCGAATTTAATGAAAATATCTAGAACAGTATTGAAGATATGATGAGAAAACAACCCATAGCTTGGATGTTGAGACATTTGGGGCATATACTATTCATGAGATATCCTATATTTTCAGCAATTAATTTAATTTAATTACACCCTGTGATTTACAGAAAATATCTTAGGTATGTATATTATTAGAGGGTTCTGATTACCTGAATACATTTGCAGAATACCTACCCCTACCTTTGACTAGTGAAAAGTGTACCCATCAATAATAGATATTTTTGTGGTATTTCTTCCTAGTATGTTATCTGACAATCTGACGTAGAAGCAATAGGGATCAGTTATACCCTCTATAGTTTTTTCTTTTATCTTTGGGGCTGCATGAAGAGGAATCCGTATACAGGATGATTCATGAGGAGTGTTGAGCCTAATGGTGTATGTATATGAAGAGTTTTTTAGCCTTCCATAAGAATCATGGTAAAGTATGCTAAATAATTTTGATGACCAATATTACAAAAATGATTCATCATAAATCGCATTATTTTTTAAGAAAACATGGGTCTACTTCATAGAGCACAGCTTCATTGAAACAACGACTGTTGATTTCCACAAGTGCACAAATAATTTGGAAAAGAACTGGTATAAAACCACTGTTTATACCTAACTCTTAAAGGCGACACCCTTCTTTGTAGAGAGACATTACGAACGCCAAAGGTGATACACTGAATGTCGACTAATTTTTCGACTGTTTGATTGAATGATGGATGAGTCGTTTTTTATGAAAAAATGATGGGAAAAGAATCGAAATATGATCTCTATTTGAATTTAATGTTCATGAAAACTCATCTTGGAAATCTCCATATTCCGTTAATCTGTCTGACAGATGTTGAGCTCCTAAAGTGATGTGTCACAAACGAATATAGAGTTTTTGTGAGTACTGGTTCTGACATACTGAGATATCTGCCATAGTTCATCCTGAAAAAAACTGTAGATTAGAATTATGCCTCTCTATAATTGCGCAATATATCATTCAAGAAAACGTGGGTCTACTTCATAGAGCACAGCTTAATCGAAATAACGACTGTTGCTTTCTTAAAGTGCACGAATAATTTGGAAAAACTGGAATAAAACCAGTGTTTATACCTAACTCTTAAAGGCGACACACCCTCCTTTGTAGAGATGCATTACGAACGTCAAAGTTGAAACACTCCCCTCGTAAGAGTACCTGACGTGATTCTATACACTCACAATGTCGACAAATTTTCCGACTGTTTGATTTAATGATCGATAAAAGTCATATTTGAATTTAATGTTCATGAAAACTTATCTTCGACATCTCCATATTCCATATTGATCTGTCTGACAGATCTTGAGCTCCTAAGTGAATTGTCCTGGACGATTATTGAGTTCTTGTGAGTTCATCAGGGTCTTAAATAATGAGATATCTGGCATAGGCAGTTTACATTGCCTATTCTGAAATATCCTGAAGAATAACTTGAATTAGTATATTATGCCTCTCTGATTGCGCAATATCTTATTCATAATAATTCACATCTATGAAAGAAAACATGGGTCTATCCTTCAAAGAGCACAGCTTCATTGAAACAACGACTGTTTGGGAAAGAGCTGGTACAAAACCACTGTTTATATCTAACTCTTGAAGGCGACACCTTCCTCTGTAGAGAGGCATTACGGACGCCAAAGTTGATAACATTTCTCTCGTGAGGGTACCGGACGTGATTCCATACACTTATAATGTCGACTAATTTTTCGACTGGTTGATTGAATGGTCGATAAGTTGTTTTTCATGAAGAAATGTTCTTGCGGGGATGATTACAGAGATATAAGGTGTTCAGAATCGAGATTTTTCAACTAGGATTTTTTTGTGTCGAAACTATTCTTTGTAGGTCAAAACGGCTTTTATGTCTCTATCTTAACTTTTGATTAACTATCTACTGACATTCAATTGGAGCAAATACAGGGTGGTTCAATATTTTGAATTCTGATCATCCTGTATCTGTTCCAATTGAAGTGGATAGTAAATCAAAGGTTAAGATAAGGACATGAAAGCCGTTTTGACCGATAATGAATGGTTTCGATACCTACTAAAGAATCCTAAAATTTTAATATCTCGATTTTGAACACCCTATATTTCTGTAATCATTCCCGCTAGCCCGCATGTGGAGTACATCGATGAAATCAGCTCTACAGGGAGAATCTAAAAATGTAATGAAATACAGGGTATGTATTCCATCTGAAAAGTCATTGTTGTTGCTACTTTCTAGTATAAGTGGCAACGCCACATCGTTTAAAAAATATTATAGTCGTGTAGATCATGTCGATTTATACATACCAACAAATTTTCAGATTCATCTGTAACTTGGTTTGCCAGAAAAGTCTAATAAACGCTAATTGTGAAAAACCCTGTAAACTATTTCGCGATATGCACTAGATTCTTGCTTGACACTGATACGAGCACTTATTTAAGTAGACTGTGTGCGATGACATCTAACACAAGACTGACACGATT